ACTTACAGGTTCATGCGATGCCAAAACTGTGCAACCGATTGAGTTGAGATATTTGAGGTAAATGTTTAAAAATAGACTGCACAAAGCCACAAAAATTCAAGTGCTCTTTCTGGGCAATGAAACTAGAAAACGGTTAACCAAAGCGTCATGATCTCTGAAATAACTTGCGCGATTTAGTGTCAGGTATCGAAAACTTCGGGCGGTAATGCAACACGTGCTTCTATTTTTTGCACTGGTTGTTTTTACCGGAAACCAGTGTATCTATTTTCATTGCTCCACATTTGCTCACAGTGAAGAAAATCATGTTTGTGGTAGCTAGCCCTAAATCTGTTACCACATGTTTTGGCTTTCGGAGGGCTGAGCAGTACTCTGTCTGTGAGGCTGACCACTACTATGCTTATTTGTGTACAAAGAATTCGGGGTATTTTGCTAATTTCACAAGTTTCCAAATTCTTATCTAAGCAGTGAAATTAGTTCACACACAAAGTTCGATCTTTAATGCTGAGCTTCCTTAGAACCTGCAAGCCACGATCGAAATCTGTCGTGTTTCAATTTTCTTTCATAGGAGTGGTGTGGATTTATTCTTTTTCTATGAAGCTAGTTCAGATGGATATTTCAAGTAGCTTCTCCAGCTATATTTGTTGATCGCAGATGAACTGATGTTTAGCATCTGTTACTGGGTTCGTTCCCCACTGTTTGGAATAAGCTAATGGTCCGCGGTACTTTTGTGGATAATTACAAAATCGATCACCCTCCATTACTTGAACTATTCTTACAATCAGATCATACTGCTGTCTGATTCTAAACCCCCAAAGTAGTTAGTTGGATTCTACTACCTAAATCGCCACCACTCTTCTCCCTCAACGTTATCGAGGTGTTGTTGCTAATGATCAATACCAAGAAAACGCACACACACACACACACAATGGATATACGCATGAGACTGATAAGTTAGGTGAACAAGGAACTTTGGTCGGAGGAACACAAGGCTTGTGTATTTTTTCTGTTCAACTGCCTCCATAAAGAAATAGCATCACCCAATTAAGACTCGTTTGTCTGTGTGTATCGGCGATAACCGCAAAGTACACCTTTCCATGCTCGTCAGTTCTGTCTCTGTATGATGATCACAGTCCAACTGACAGCTGTGCATACTGGAGGGAAGTGCCGTCGTCTAACGGATTCTGGTGTCTGACCAAAGTTTCTTCTCCGTCCGTGTGGTTGTGTGTGTATGTGCTCATTCGATACTATTTGCTCAACTGACGCACGGTAGCTTCGCATGCTCGTACATACGTTGTTTCAGAGTAATGGTGCCAGGCCCTTGTATCCTACAAACAGGTCTCTTATCACATCGAAGACGAGAAGTAGTGAGTTAGACACCTTCAACTTTATCTGCATCTACGTAATTTTTTGCCCAGTTAACTCACTTGGTTGGTACTTTGTGTACGCTTGTGTGTGTGCCTACTGTGAAATCGGAGCAACCACTAATTGGTGTTTGCTCTTTGACGATACCACTCTTTTGGTTTGTGGCAGGCACCTAAAGACATTCAATTTGACCAAAGTTTTTTCGACAATCGGTTGGCATGCAAGGCGTAAATTTCTTACCAAACAGACTGAAGTTACTAGTTAGTGAGATGTATAACCACGCTGAAGGTCGTTTTCGGGTTACGTCGCTGTCGCTACACGTTTGCGGATCAGTTGAATATTGGTCTTCCCAGGTAGTTTGGTTTAATGTCAGAGAAGACCCGCTCGACAAGAGGATAGATTTGGCAATTTTTTCGCTATCTATCCACGTAGACAAGAAGGATGAGATGAAACAGCAAAATGACCCCTTATGTTCGAGTTCTCATAGCATCACGAAACACCGGTTGAACAGACGTCAAAACACGACCTCGCGCCGCAAAATGGTTTCATTGACCTGAGGATTTACTGATTATGATAGCTGGTTTTTATTGAAACAAGAAACCGAGATGTGCTTACTCTCTTTGTCCGACTGGTGGACTGCATGTACATGGTGATTAGGATTTAACGATTTCAGAAGAAGTAAGCAAAGTTTTGAAGCATTCTGCTATGTGGTGGAGTTCGTCAGAGCTAATACAACTGCCAAGGTATGTGCAATTCTCCACAGCCTCCAGTGATCTTCCTTGGATTGTAAGGGATACATTCGGAGACTGTGCATGTCACGGTGTCGAACCCGGAACTGGTAATTCCACCTGGTGAAACGTTTTCCGGAAAATCGCCACTTTTAGTAAGTATTTCAGCCATTCCAAATGTCACGTTCACTAATACACTCAATGTACAAATCACAATTGCAATAATAGCAACGCATGTCATGTTGCATATATCCAGCTGATATAAAGATGATGAACAATGTGTTCGAGTTGAGTTTGTTGAATCGAATAAACAGCGAAATTCTTCCGTAGCTTGGAGGGGAATGGATTAGCTACGAGTTGGTTTGGTCTATGCCCAAAATGAGATAACAATGCAGAACTTATCTTTATTACTTGGGTGAGCATAATTCCTTAAATGTAACCATCAGCACCCTCCTGGATAGATAGACGATGTTCGACCTCCCCGAAGTAACGGTTTCGATGGCAGATGATGATTTCAGTTTGGACGAATTGAATTTCGTTTTTCCTTTTCCGCCACGGGAAAGCTTACTATAACGGGAGTCTCTTCAACCACAGACTTTGGTTGCTTGTTCTAGCAATTCCCTACTGCACTGAGTTTTGCTGATTTTCCACAGGACTGACAATCATCGTTGTTACTCTGGTTGGAATATCCCCAGATGTTGAAAAAATAGCGAACAGGGCAAAATCAAGTGGTCTTCTTCTGACATCGTTCATAAAGCTACCGACTTGGCTTCAAACGAACTTTACTTGTGAAATTCGTGACTGCGTCGTTTGATTGCTGGGTCCAAAATGTTTGCTTCGTCGGGGGTCGTCTTATTCTTGCTATACATCGTCTCTTGCGTCCGCACACAGTCCTTCCCGGTAATTGACTTTGTCTGAACAGTATTTTACCAACGCTGCACTCATCGATTCGAATATTCTTTGCATCTGTTACACGTAACCTCTGTTGTATCTAAAGTGACCTGCGATGAAAACTATTTGTTTCCTGCAACCGGTGACCCTGTGGCAGAAGTCTTGTGTGAACGACAAAGCAGAAGAGCGTGCACACACATACAAACCTACCAGCGTCCATCTTTGACAGATTCGTGGAAAAATTCTGCAATGGTCCGGTCGAGCAATGATAAACAATCATCCAGCAGACCTCATCATGAATTCGCTCTCACGGACGAAAGCTTTTCACAGTCTCTCCGTTACAAAAACAGTGTTTGTACACGAGGAAAGTACATACTATCTCGCTCTTGCAGCAAAGCATCTTACGTGCTGCAACTATCGCCAACGTTACCATTACTGTCGTCGGTCTGTTGACGTCAACCCATAGCTTAGCTTCCGTAGGGTTGTTTATGTTTCACATATACCTGTTGTACGCACGTATGTGTATAGACAACGCGCTTTGGAACTCGGCTTTAATCGGCCCAACTTATTCTGCCAGCTGATAAACACAGTGTCTGCTTCGTAGAGAGCGAGAGAAAGTTGTGCGGAGACAGCCACTGGCGAAGATATGGTTGATTACTTGTTTGAAATAAGAGCACTGATATATTGCCGGACACTTGTACGTGCGCGCATGCGCTGTTTTTTCTATGGGGTTCCACTTGTCAATGATCAATTGTAAATTCACTATTGTGAATGACAGTGGACGGAACGAACGACAATGTCACCAGCTCTTCCTTCAAACAACTGTGGGATCACCACTCATTTGCAGATAGCAGTCCATGTGAACTGGGGTTTGGGCGGAAAACGACTTGGCGCAAGGTGTATACGAACACGAGTAGAGAAACCCTCAGGTGTGTAAATTAATCAGTTTGTGAACTTTGAAACAACTATGAAGAACAGACAACATTCTGACTGGATTAAATTATCTCATGTACTTCCATGACATCTTATTCTAGGGTCTACGCTCGGTGCAATAGACATGAATAGAGATTCTAGCTAGTATAATCAAGAGACATGGAACGGATACATGGAAAGTGTGAAGATAGGCGTTGTCCATGTTCTGGAGATCGAAGTGTGAACGTAAAACAAAGGGCCAGGTCAGAAAACTGGATGATGTGTAAGGTTATATGTGGTGTTCCATGTATAAGGTGAAACGAGGGGAGACACGCAGAGAGGCAAAGCCACCACTACGTTTACCGATCCATACAAACGAAGCATTACGCTTGTAGAATGTTTCTGATTATAAGACCGCAGTGGTTTTCCAGTTTTCATCTCCCATATTCCAAGTCATTTCTGTGAACACAGCTGTGATCCATCCAACTTAAGTCGTGTCTGGTCGCCTTACTTTTCTGAATATCAGATGACACTGTCTTCACATACTACGTCTTCACAACTACTAAAGTTTGTGATGCTGTACTTCCTTCTAACCACCTCTTATTAGGTGGCCGGGAATGCACGGGTCCGGGGAATTTAGTGTTGCATTCACACAGGGTAAACCGCTTTACACTTCCTGTCACCACACTTTTTTATAGAAGCAGGAATTTTTGTTTCTCTTTAGTGCACATCAAAACCCTTCCATACCAGGTAATGGAGAGAGCAATAAGTAGGTTGTAATTTCAGAGAGACTGTCGTTTGAGAAGCTGCTTTAGGAATCCTAACGCTTGTTCGTGAATTATTTGCATTCTCATATGCTAACCGTCTTTCCTGCAGACTTCAAAAAGAGGCAATGTGGATTATGATGTGGGGACAACTTTACCCAAGCAGTTCCTACTAGCGAAAATTTCAACTGCATTGGTGCTCAATATATAAGGCGATGATACTGGAGGGGTTTTGCTGTAGGTCACTATTGCCATAGAGATAAAAACACGTCCCGAATGGTTTTGACAACACGCGTTTATTGAGGAAACTAACCAGTTTTATTTTCGTTTGTTTTTGCAACAGCTCTAACGACTTGACACATAAAGTAAGTATGATCGTTTTTATTCTCATTTGTCTAACTTCATTCGTAACATTTCCTTATTGAAAAATTAGACTGAAGATACTTTATTGGTAACATTGAATGAACGCGATGATTTTAAGTAGTTATGTTGAAGTGCATGGCGGGTAGGAAACGTTTAAAGTTGGTGAGAAGCAAAGTGACCATTAACGTTTACAACTACGCCAGTCCTATTGAGAAAGAGTTACCATCGATCTACGTACGACTTGCCTCGTCGTACCACACACACTTTTGGTCTCCAAACTATGTTGGTTGAGTAGCCAGTAATCAAGAATACCAATGTAACTTTCCTCCGAGAAATTGCTCTTAATTAATTCACTACATCGATTTGCGAGACATTATTGTCTTTGGATCAGTCGCTCGCACCGAAGGCACACAAGGAAGATGATCAATGACCGGGATGTTCAATCTGTGCTGCCCTTATTGCATGGTCTTTTGGCTAGCGATTGGGGATAATCAACCAGACTGGCTCATCTGCATAGATGAAGCAAGTAACACAGTTGCTTTCAACCGACAGATCCGCACCTGTTCTATTCAGGCCTCATTGAAAGATGAGCTATCTACATGCGCGTATGTGTTTGTGACCAGGAATCAGTTCGAATTCCACATAATGCTCAATTGACCTAATCAGGTGATTTTTGTGGTGCTGCTCACAAACCGTTCGAATTCGCTTATCATTCTAATCGGGCTAGTGATTTGTATCTCACCGTTTACGATTTTGACATTTTATTGTCCACTGCCGATTTTCACACGTGTTTGCTTATCACGTGTTTCGGTGTTGCTAGGTTCTTTCTAGCTAAGATTTCAAGGTTCCGGCATGGGAAGCCCAGAATATAGCCCTTCTACTGACAATGATTCTGAATGAATATGCCGTATGCAATAAAATGAGTAAGAAGGATTTTATGACTAAACTAACTGCAAGCTTAAGAACAATATTTCTTCACCTATTCGGTTGATAAAAGAACATGCGTACAACTTCACAAGACCGATTAGGAAACGCGATTGCAAGTCACTCAAGCGAGGTTCAAGCCCGAACCCTCGGGTCAATAGGGGTATTGACTGAATCGGTCAGGTTCCAAATGTTCCCACAGTCGAAGTGCTCACGGAAAAAGAGGTATTTATCTGAGTGAAATACACTCATTTGCAAACAAATTTGCTTTTGCGGGAAACTCACCGGGAACCCAACTGAATCTCTGGTTTATGATGCAGAACATAAGGTTGACGGAAATTCGGGGTCTGCGCATACGTGATGAGCCCCAAGAAGGGCAAAACTGGTCGTGGGCTGCCGAAAAGTTTTCAGCAAGCTCATGAGTAGTATATCACGAGTATTTTATTCTAGGAACGGCTTCTACTGAACGACCTTCCGTCTTCGTGAGGACGCACATCCGGTGGGAACTAACTAGGAACATTGGCTTGTACTTTTCAGAGAATCTTATTAGGAGTTCTTAAGAAATCACGAGAATACAGATTAGCGACACATTAGCGACCACGTTTAATCCTGGTTTCCTGGGTGCTGACCTCGAAAAACTACCAGAACTGTACATGTCTTGCACAAAATGTAATACAAGCGCAGCCATCCGAGCGGAATACGGGGACGTTTCAAGATCGCATGCATTCTTTCGTGATCTCCTGGTATGCTCGTTAAAATCGATCTCCTGATATTGAGAGGAGGGCATCCTACCTCAGCGTGATGCCGTGTCGCATGAGGTTCACACGTTAACTCGACCAACCCTCCATAGCTTGCAGTTTGCTGAGTTTGTAGAAAGCAAATCGCATTTTGACTGCGTGAGGCAGAATGATAAAAGTTGATATAGACGTGATACACTATATCGTATACGAGAGATTCAGCTGGGTTCCACGTGAGTCTCTCGCGGAAACAAATTTGTTTGCAAATGAGTGTAATTCGCTGATAAAAATTGATGTACAATTGACTGGACAGTGTTCTCTGTTCCCTTCCACGGCGCCACACTTAATATCTGGAATAACAAAGACTGGTTAGCTTGAATAAAGAAGTCGTCTCATCTGGGTTAAACAACTCGTTCTACTATATCTATGGCTTATTTAGGTAGACACATACATTCCTATAGGACCAAGGTCTTCTTCTACAATGCGTTACTTAGTGGAGGAAATTCTTCGTTTTCAGATATGGTTGCAGTATTGTGCAAAAGTTCTTTCGGATGGCAAACTATACTCCTTTTTCATATTTTGACCGCATGACATATGGCTGACTGCCTCCGACCTGTACGTGAACTTCAAAATCTGTAGCTTATGCGATGAACAAAGTGTTGTCACAGCACATTATAATTCGTTGTCTATTATTTCGGTTTTATTGGAGGTGAATAGTGACAGCCACTATTTATACCACGTGGTGTTCGACCAATCCGAGAAGTCGAGGAGTTTGTATGATGTTATGAGGAGACCATGCCCCCAGTCTTCTGCTCCCCTTCTGTTAAACTAGGCCATCGGCTGATCAGTATACTGTTCGGCTAATATGCTGTAAACCAAGCCGGCTAAACTGACCAGGTCTTACGACGAACTTTATATGAATGATTTTGGTCATCTTGCACGTCATCAACTAAAAAATTCTACAAAACGAATACATTACTAATCAACTCTACTGTGTGTGTGGATTGTTTTCCATGGTTCTAACACAGAGCATTCATTTGAGGCTGGTTTTGGAAAACACTATTTCAAGTCGAGCCTTCAATATGACTGTGCCCTCTTTCCGTTGTGTTCCACTCTATGTGAATCTGGTGAAAAAGTTCCGGAGGATTTAAACGTGGTGACCTTCGTCTCTGTATGTTAATGTTAGCCACCCTAATTATCAGGGCTACCCGGGATCTGACTACGCTTCCAATCTGTTCAAAGTCTCCCCCCATATCTGTTGGTCTCTCGCGTTAAATCGTGCTAATGTTAACGTGCTTTGACGATTACCCAATTGGAGTTTTAAATAGTTCAGGTAGAAATCTGATGCTGGCCCAATTATAAGTTATCTCAAGGGGTATGGAACCTGAAACATGAAGACCAGAGTTCTACACAAACACATCATGGCACTTCCATCGAGTCACCTTTCGATTCATATCAGGAAGATAACATTCCTCATTGGCTTTCTTAAGAATTTTATCGTGATTTTTTTCCGGGACTTCCTAATCAAACCGGTCCGACTACTTGCACCAACAACGGTGGTACATAAACCAGCAAGAAATTATTGAGACAAACCTTCTCTCATATGCATAGCTTCCGAGTGAAATCGAATCCTACTGGACAGGCAACTGTATCCTTCGGGATGCACCTATTCACGTGGGTTCTAGTCCCAGTAGTGCCTAAGAAGTTCCTTCTAAATTTACCGACAAATTTTTCCCAGGTTCCTAAAACTGGAAGTTCATTGTCATCCCTTTTTTCAGGCCCTTCCACTGGACTTGACGGAATCATTATCTAGCCTTGAAACTGAAGGTAGAACGAACTGTGAGTCAGTCCCCATTGCCTTGCTCAAATTTTCAGTGGTTTGGTACTGTTTTCAATGTAAGCATTACATGTTGAAGGAACTGTTTGATCCTTGCGGCAGAAATGTGTTTTCCGAAAGATAACTGACAATCTTGATAAGACATACTACTCGTAGAGTTGGTGAAGACTCTTCTACACTGGACAACAGGTTTCGTCCTTCTCGGGGCTAATCATGTAGGCGCACTTTATCCGATTTCTCTACGGTTGATTACTGAGTAGGATATTTCCCCTCCTTTGATGTTGCATTTGATTATCCCATACATTTCACCAACCAGTGTGCTGGACAAAATCCAGTACCCGACTGCGTCGGGTTCTACTAGCCACAAGTCTTGCATTGTCTGAGGCTATAAAGTATAGGTGATGTTGATGTTCTTAGACCTTTTTCTTACAAAAGGCCTAATGGGGAACTTATCGGCAGCGTTCTGAAAGGAGGAATGTAGCTAAAGCTAAACCTTCCAGTTGCGTCGCCTTTTGGGTATCTTAGTGTTAGCTCCAATATTAGAACGCAGTGGTATGTACCAGCCTTTCTTTCCTTTACTGATACACCCCAGACAACTGTTCTGGTTAGCATCTCACATGGGAAGCTGCAAAACCCATCTCGATCTCTGTTTCTTTGATACGTCCGTTTTTGTTGCCTCCGGCTGTCAATTCATCTTCTTGTGCGCGGTCAAAAGAACCAGACCAGACAGAAGCTCGTTTCTCATTCAGCGCTGCCTATCATTGTACCCACCAACACACAGCTGTGCAGCTATTTCTCCCTTCCTCCGTGAACTTGTGCCGCCAACGATCATTCCATCGTCGTTCCTGTTGAATCGCTCGGCAAACGCACACGCCATTTTCATGGGTGAATTGTTTGAAGTGCTATGGTTATATGCTGCATAAAAACGAAATGTTCAGAATGTGGACGTGTAACGCTGCCTGCTGACTTCGATTCCCTTCCCTGGATCTCTGTTCAAACGATTTTAGACGTGTGTGTGTGCTACCCATCTGCCCAAGCGTAAGAAACGCTTTAAAACGAGAGATAAAACCCTAGGCTTGTAAAATTGGTTTACACTGAGGAGACTCTGAGACCTATGACGGTGTCACTTTGACAAGCGCTACATAATTCGAAAAAACTGGGTCGAGGATACGAAGATAATAGTTCATATACATTGACTCAGGGGTAAAATACGAGGGCGATTTTGCACTTATTTTTCTGCACCTGGTAGTGTCTTCCTCAGAATTCGGTAACACTTCACTTGAATTTGTCACCTACCGTGGTCAGTTTAAAGCTCACACATCACAATTCGAAATGAGCGTTAGTTTAGAAGGATATGACTGGCCTCATAAATATTGACTCAACAGACAATGATGTGATGCAAACTCCCGATAATTAAAAATTGTGCTCACCAACGACGGATTTGATCGATATTTATTTTATGGAACACCGATCACAGGGTTGCTGAGACCTCTCCCAAGTTTCGAATACCACACCGGCTGGAACACGAGGCAGCCTTTTTTTGGCACATTCGGTTGAAGAATATCATAAACGGGATTTTCAGCTGCCTTTGGTTGACACCAAATTATTGCACAGATAAGTATACTTCCCGAGTGCCCATCGACATATTTTTGATAAAACGGAATGTGCACTTGTACACGAGCTTAGCAAGTGATCAGAAGTCAGCAAATGGACCCAAACGGTAACCATCTCCGGTGACTCCACCGTTAACTCACTAAAGATGACGGGCCACATATCACTGACAAATGGGTGGCAATTTGACGCAGATTGTTTACTGTTTTCGAGGGGCTGTACCGACTCGAAGTCCCGTTTTGGTATTCCAAAAGCGCATGGGTGTACACATGCCAGCATTGCTGAAATCGCTGACTTTACCCCTACTATCCCGAAAAAAAATACACAGTGAATCATCTCTGAATAGGCCGAAACTGACTTCAAGAATAGAGTTTCGTGATACATGTCACATTTGTACAGCATACTAGTAGGGAAACAGGAGGCAGTGGATACATTGATACATGCATGAAATAGGTTGATCGTATTGTAGGGAGATTTTGCTATTCCCAGTCGAGGTTCCGCTTGCGTCAGTGGGGCTAATCTACGCTGAAAAGCTGAGATACACAGTGGTGGTGTTTCCGAATAGGAATCAAGTAGGTATACAGTGCTTCTCGGCCGTTCAACATAAATTGGCCTCACTGAGTGGACGCAATCTCAGTTGATCAGATGGAGATTAATTTCTCATTATGAGAGGAGTTGCCATCCAAGAAGTCGTCACTCAAGGAACCAGTCAATACATAACCCTGTGATTTGTTTTTTGTGATTAGAGGATGAGCGGCGCCATGTCCTATGTGAGAGATAATCACGTGACTGATGAGCCGCTCGTGGCCAAACGGTTACGCGTTCAAGTACTGACCAGAAGGTTGCGGGTTCGGAGCTTTCTGAGTTTCGTGAGACGCGTACTGGTGGCTAGTTCTAACAAATACGAAAGTGCTGTACAGCGTTTCTCGTGTTTTTAGTATGAACTGGCCTCATCGGCAGGCCGAATTCTCAATTGAAAATAAGTTAGCTACCAAATTGCGAATTTACTTGGCTGATTAAGTCACACTTAATTAAAATATAGTTTACTTTTGTCTGTGTGGCTGCGATCTTCCAACTGCTTTCCGGTTACTTCGCTGACGGAATCACAGGAACAGTTCCTTCACATCGAGACAGTGTATAGGTGTACTTATGGCACTATTCACAACACCTAAAGTCAGTCTAATCAGTGTTAACGGCATGTCTTGGGGTGAGAAGTCCACATACCTGAAGAATGGTCCAAAAGACTAGAAGTTGACCCGAATCATTAATTTCCCGATTATCAGATGCATGTCAAACCGACTGAGTGGGAGGCCGATGGTTCGAATCCCGTCCTCAGAAGTGTATCTTTGCTAGTTGTATTCGGTCTTCCTTCTTCAAAAGCTACTCAATTCCTTTCCATCCACTTTCTGATTTTCCTGCTTTCTGTTTGACCGTATTCACCGAGATTGTGGATATGGTTTTGCTTTCGGTCTCCGCAGCTCTTGTGGGGTTGACAGCGGGAAGCTGAAGGCGTTCACTTGTCCTTCTTTCGTGTTGCAAATACACACCTAGCTCACCTGTTAAATTCAAGACCCAAAAAGCAGAAAAACTATTCTGGCTGTGTACGTGCTCTTGTACAAAATCTAGCACGTCTTAATGTTCTTCCCGCTGAACCTTTTTGTTTTGCACTCGATTAAAACGGGTTAGATCTTGTCTACGCTGGATCGTGTTTCCCTACTTCCAGCATGTTTCTTGCACATCATTCACTCCAGTGATCAACCCTCTCTCTCTATGTCGCCTTGTCTTCACTCATGGACATTCATCTGACCATCTTAACGATTTGTGTGCCGTCGGAAATTTCACACAAAGACACTTTGTTATCAGTACAGAGGCAACGTTTACTTCCACGCTTTGCTTGAGGCTCTTCAACAATAGGATATATGCATGTATCTTTGTGTGTATGCACGAAAGCTTTTTGACACACTCCAGTTTTGGCTCGGTTCTTGACAGTACATTTCGACTGAGTGACCCACGCCTCTCTCTGCGGAAATAATCAACGGTCAGAAGTAAATTTTGTTGTCTGGTTGTGTACGGCGGTTGCGCTGTTCATTTAGGAAAGATGGCTCCGTCGAAGGTTCGTAGCTTCACATTTACACTTTGCGAGGCGACTGTGGCAGAGCAAAGTGCTAACGTAAGAAAAGCCGCTACTGAAAGCCGCGCTCTCCACTAACTTGCTCTAAGAAAATAGGATGTTCCTCACGTTCTTTCGTTGGCAGCTATCTCTGTGCATTTCACGAATCTCCACGATTGTAATGAACGCATCCCCCAGAAAAAGTCAACGAGTTTAGGTTTTTCGAAGAGCTTATGAGGTGATGTCATGATATTTGAATGCTTATTTGTCTCTACTGAGCTTGCTGCTCGACCGAAAAGTATTCTATATGGTAGAGATTACATACTTCCAGAAATGCGACGCAATGAGAATCGATTCAGATCAAACCGGACTGGTCACGTGTGAAAACGTTTAGCTGAATAGCTGTTAAGAAATACAGAAAACCCCGTGTTCATACAGGGGAAATTAGAAAGCCAAGTTGAAGTTCGAACCAGATACTTTTCAGTCAGTGGCTAATATCGTGACATTTGCACCTCAAACAAGTCTACGACGCTTAGTTTTGTTTTTAAGTTAAAAGTAGTCATTCTGTATGTGCACTTCTGTCTAAAGCACGAGGTTTTTTAACTGATGGTAAGAGATTCCAATACTTTTTTCCCCAATTACAGAGTGATGTGTGTTACCTTAAAAATATTATGACGACCTAGGTTCGGTCCCTAACGAGCACGTACAAACTATTCCGGGTTTCGTTCTAATAGTCTGTACACCCGTTGCTTCTGGTGTTGAAATGTAGACAGTATGCACATTTTTTAGAACATATCCTCGTCCCTTAAAGCATGAAATTAAACTTCCGGATCCTGTCTACTGATGTCTGTCGCTGTCTGATGGAAAGAAATCAGTTTGGGCTGCACGAAATCAGTTTTTTCTAAATCACAATCTTTTTGGTTGCCTGGCACCATTCGCTAACTTCTCAGTTAGATACACACACATGTTTCCTTTTGGCTCAAGTGCTTACTGGACACTTGCCCGATGTGCTCAGTTTGATTACGCACGCATTTGCTTGTGTGTACGTGTTCACACACTTTAGATGTTTGTATCTAATCTTTTGGTTGCTTGTTTAACTCGAATTAACGAACACGGTAAGCTGTTGTTTCGTGTGCATGTTCATTCATAAGTGTGTACTTGATGTCGCATAATTCTTCCGTGCTGCTTGAATCATCAGGGCCGGTGTGTTTGTGTGTCAGCTCGACATTGTTGAGTGCATCGGTCGAAGCCTGATGGATGTCATCTTAAGCGGGTTCATGAGGTACAGATGAGTTTGTCCATCTATCTGGGACGAGGGCGAGCTTCGAAACTGTCGTACGTCCACTGCGAATCGAATGAAACGTACCACGCACAGAAATCAAGAAACCGGGGTTTGTTTGTCTGCCTGAGCAAGCAGACGTGCACGCGCGCTAGCTCGCCTGCTCGTTGGTTTATGTTCGGCGAAAGAAAATCGATTTTTCGGAGTACTTTTTCATACACATCAGTTGGAGCTGCTGTCCGTTAGTCTTTTGCGGCGTTTTTACCGTCTGATTTAAGTGATTCACGCATATCCGTTCATAAGATTCAGTGTTTTAATGAGACACCATTGAAGTCCTTTTAATACCCCGCACTACTTCAGGTCCTGACAGCAAGATCCCTCAATCACAAGATGATTCCTTACTCCACGACAGTCAAACTGATACAGACGTCACTATGTGCATCTGTCCGGTATGCGGTTATTCAGCCTCGTCACCACGTGGACAGGATGAGCACATGGAAACTGCTCACGGAGAATGTTACTCAAATGTCCCAAGCGTAAGTATCACAACGGGCGAACAAGGCGGGGCGGTTCACTCAAAACAGAAGCAGTCCTTAGTTGCGGTGGATTCTTTTGTAGCAAGCACACTGCGTTCACCTGAACCATCTCAGAGCAATCTCTTCTCTTCCGAGACGCACACGGCTTCAACTCCGCAAGGCTGTGTTCAACCGTTTACACTGCTGAATCTACCAAGTATTGATGTAGTGGACTTACCGTTGACAGGACGCAGTCGGGTTGATTCGGACAGCAAATTTGTTGCATCCGAAAGTTCCAGTTCGGCATCTACGAAGGTTGTGCATCGAGAAATGAACAGCCGAAGTCCGGTGGTAAAGGCCATGTTAACAAATTCTGCCACCGAAACAGCTGGGGGGACGGGTGTTGTGCTACCACACAAGGTGGACTCAAGAAGGCGCTACAGGTGAGTACTTGTGTGAGAACAGGGTCATATTTCTTTAGACATCATTCGACTGAAACAGCTGTAGACTTACCACTAGGTTAGTGTTGCAAAAACTGATTACCAAATATGGCTGTTTCCATATCACAGCATTACCCCTCCTCCCAAGGGATCTTCCAAAAAGACACGGAGGTGATGAACTTCCCGTTACGACATACTCATTTCTAAGTATGAGAGTCTAAACGGTGTCAAGGAATATTCTCGAATTTCCATACAACTAAACTTCGTTTCAACCACCACTTTACTAATGCCATTGGCGATATTAATCCTGTGAGAACTCCATAACATATGGGTATTGTCAATTGTTACATGCAATGTTCCGACGAACTAGTTAGTTCCTGGTCTTTTGTAAGTGTGAAGAGTCCAATATATGGGATGTAGAGAGCAGAAGAACTGCGTATTAGTACAACCGAGTGGTAAAAAATCAGACTAGCTGTGTAGTGCTGTAAGGATTTGAAGCGTCAGTTGCGGTCGTGCGAAGTGTTTGATGATGAACTTTTTAGTCCCTCTATGGAGTCGGTAAGGAACAAACACCTCTCTACAACTCGAGTAGAGGTAGGTTTTCGAACCCCTACCCTTGCACATTTGTTCCATTATTGCTGTTCCAAACGGCTTTCGATCTGTCACTCATAGGGATTTTAATGTTACCCAAACACGTGAACTACAGGGTACGGGCAAAATAGTACAACAGCAGAATACCTTAGAAAACACCACTGTCTACGAGTAAAACGGTTTACTGATATGTCAGCTGATATAAAACTGAAGAAAATTTCGGCGAGTTTTTCTAAACCAGAGAGTCAAAGTAAACACATTGTGAACAAAACGCAAATCTAAAGAAGTTACTACCTTTTGAATTAGATACTGAACCTCAGTGTCAATAAGGGCATTTCTTTATATGAAACCCTAATGACTCACATCCTTGGAGATGTTTGCTGGTCACCTCTAGTACCCACTGACGAAGACTTTGATTGAAGACATCTGGAGCATGGGTTGATCAGGTGCATTTCAATGATAGTGAATTTATTTTGTTCACTTTAAAGCGCTTATTTATATGGTTTCGTTATCTATTCTGAATACGTCAACTTTGGTTGAAATGGCCCTTTTGTCCTGTTTTCCCTACGGTCTAAATATTTTTGATTAGGAAGGCCGTAGGTGGAACAGACGGCGGTATTCGCATCGTAACATTTGAATGGGAGATGCTTAAGCAAGGGTTAGGTAGAATTTGCGCGTGTTGTACTGAAGTTTTGTGGGCCATTTCTCAAATCGGAATTATAGTTACATCGGTGACTCAGGAAAGACGTTTAGTACAGACCTAAGGGACTCCGTATTCTCAAGACCGGGTAATTTGTACCTTCTACTTCATCTACGGCATAGGCCGTGAACCCATGTGCATCAATTCAGACCGATATTTTCATGGAGTCGTACAATGTAAATATTTTGATTAGGAAGGCCGTAGGTGGAACAGACGGCGGTATTCGCATCGTAACATTTGAATGGGAGATGCTTAAGCAAGGGTTAGGTAGAATTTGCGCGTGTTGTACTGAAGTTTTGTGGGCCATTTCTCAAATCGGAATTATAGTTACATCGGTGACTCAGGAAAGACGTTTAGTACAGACCTAAGGGACTCCGTATTCTCAAGACCGGGTAATTTGTACCTTCTACTTCATCTACGGCATAGGCCGTGAACCCATCTGCATCAATTCAGACCGATATTTTCATGGAGTCGTACAATGAATTGTTCTCTTGAATAAACATCGACCGCACTGCAATACGCTGGGATTCCATGCTTGTTCATAAAGCAGAACTAACTGATGGGATCCATTTGAGTAATTTTACTTCCGGCTTTGCTTTAATGATTACTTCATGAGGGCGGACACAGCTGATCCAAGCAGCTGTAAGTGGACTGTTTGAACCAAATTTAAATGGAGTGGACTACGTGAAAGCACAGTTGAACACGCATAAGGAATCTAAACTACCTTCGTTAAAAGTGCCCAAATAAGGAGGACTTCGTTTGATCACAAGTGATTCGTTGACTCGGACGCCCTCGGTAGAGGGGCTTACTGAGATATGCTTGTCGTTTCTATGTATGGTTCTCTTTTGTGGAACTGCTGGAATTACTTCGTGACTGTAAGGTGACGATTCAGTCATGCGTGGCGATTAAACCGTATTTCTCTTGAGACTCCCGAAACCCGTGTTGTCATAAAACATATGTCGATACAAACTTGCTTTGAAGTGTAAAGTAATGACATAAAATAGAGATCCTCATGAATCAACAAACATCCTCATCATACTGCCTTCTTTATTAAACGTATTAAACTTGCTATTCATGGATTTTTATGCATAGCACCGTGTAGGATCCCCACGTCCCCTCAGTTAAAGACATCTAAGTTCCCTCCGTCGAATTTATCTCATACATGGGGCTTCGCTCTATTGATTTGAGACGCACAGGGTAATCGGAACACTGGTTTCTGCTTCCAAAAATTATGAGCGTTTGTAAAATCGTTACTTGGAATTCTTTTGAAATACTGACCTGCATATATTACAGCTTTCTGGGCCATTCAGACATCCCACCTTAGGAGCACCGTTTTTGAGCACTGTTGTTTACAAGTCATCCCAACACCAAGTCTTTTTCAAAATAAAAAGTAGGTTTATGAGATCCTTATCTATACAACACTGCCATTACAGCTGCTGAAAACCATTCGACAGCCCACCACCGGTTTCATCCTCCTTGGGGCTCATCAGGTACGCGCGAACCCCTAGTTTCCACCATTCATCTGTTGTACACAGTTGCTGAAATACGTTCTTTTGGTGTCGATTAGAGACTCAGCTGAATCACGGAAAGTGCTACACCTGGGATCCGTTTTTTTCCCATTGGTCTGAAATTGATTGGCAAATGTGTGCGGTTCGTCGCTGGTTCGCCGAATTGACAGATTGGATTTACGAACAAACAGAAATCTTCTTATCTCGAGTTTCGATCGATTTTGACGTGTACCAGCTCTCAGCCGATTAGGGATGTTTACACGGATTCTGTGAATCACGCACGTAGGCTGAGAGAGACTGGATAAGTGCTTTTGTTGCAAAAAACACTATGGTTTACAGAGGAATTTTTATAGCTAACTAATAATGTGCTTAAACTTACTTCTTCTCAGGTGTAATATGTGCCCAGCAACATTCCCTTGGCATGGGGATTTGACGGAGCACCTTCGTTTGTCACACGGAATGCAAAAAATGCGCGAAAGTAGCAGGAGTGGCAAGGCCGGCAGTTTCTGCTGTGTACACTGTAAATATGTTGCCAAATATCAGAGTGAACTGAGACGACATATGCGCCTGCATTGGGGTGTGAAACCGTTTGTCTGTGTCTTCTGTCCATATCGAAGCGCGTGGAAAGGGGATTTGAAAAGACATATGGAGTCACATCATCGAGAAAGATTTAGTTCCGAGGCAGAATTGACCAAGATCATGTCTCAGTTCAAAAACAATGCAGGTACCACGGTGAATGGCATTCCTTTATCAACCAGTTGCATTCAAGATGCTCCTCGTCCCGGTAACAAACTCAGTGCAGATTCCCTGGATCGTTTGGCATTTTCCGTGAACAGTGTTTTTGATGATGACAATGCGAATGAAAGAAGTGATTATTTTGAACCGTCGGCAGTGGACTGTTCTCTTGAGCACTTACGCAACGATGATCATCATAAAACGAAAAGTAATTCAACAGCCTACTGTGCTTCCAGGACACTCGTTTGTCGTGCCTGTCACCACAAATGCACAAACAAGTTGGATTTGAGAAAACACTTGGGAGCGCATCATCCCGAACTGACTGAACTTGCAGAGCTTGATAACTCCGCCTCACCAGGCAATGACGATCAACCGCCGTTCCTATCGAGCTCACCGGACTCACTGGGAAGCCTTGGCGTCGAATCCTCAGCTATATGTTCCAGCTCCGAGATCCCCCCTAAAATAAACCTAACGGAGCCGATGACCAAATGTGATCCTAATCCTACGCTATCAACTTTTCAAACACTCTCCAACGCCTGGCCGGCTGTTCCAGATCATGCCAACCTTCCATCCTTCTCTGTGAAAGTGGATTCCGGGGCGGACTCGGTTCCGATAGATTTGTCTGTTGGAAACAAAGCCGCTGACGTCTTACCAAATTTGAAGGTGAGTGGATTTTTGTTTACGACTGTTTTTCCGGGTGGTAAGCTAAAAGCTGTCCTTGTTTTACAATGTCGAACCACCACCTGATAGGAAACCTAGAATCAGTCTGACAATATGGCGTTTGCACCCCACCCTTTTCTGTTTTTACCGCTTTGGAAAAGAAAGCTTTTATAGCTACCGTAGTCGAATTGTACAACAACCAGTGGCTGGGAGGAAAAACCACTATGGGCTTCTAGAAGCATTTTTTTCTCATTGTATTGTGATGCATGAGTTAAGTAGACCCTGATGGTGTTACAAGCAGAATATTAAACGAAACCGTTCTCCCAAGAAATGATTCAAATCTGTGGCAAACCTAATTAGGTTGTTTTGTTCAATCAAAGGACTCGTGCTTGAATAGACACCCTTGCAGGCGTTCATTATCATTATCTATGAAAATTAGTGAGGAACACGAATCCTTCTGGTCATCGATTTGTAATGCGTGTGACTCGGATGATAGCTCACTGGATGTGGCTTCAGTTTTTTCACAGTAGATCATCTGTTGCTGAAAAATCAAGAGAATCTATGCGTCATCAGCCGAACATGGGCAACAAGCAACGCAAGCACTCCGCCAGTATATTGAATGCAGTACTTTTCAATCTTGACTATATATCGATGCACGTACGCTTAGTTATTCGAAGACACATTGGTGAACAAGTTGTCGATACTGTTATTAGAGGGTCCTACTCACTGAGTTGTTAATCACTGCGTCCTACCAAACGTTGACCATATATCCTCCAAATCTGTAATACTGTGGAGTATTGGTAGACGTGTACATTAATTGAGCTGGGTGATTGATTTACATGCGCTTTGGTAGCATCGAAGACAACCTCTCAGTTGATTGCCTCTGTACAGGAGATATGAAAAGTACAGCAAAACCCTTCATAGGGAACACTTTGTGAGGTGACCGAAGTGTTTGCAAGTGTCGATTGTCCGTTTTATGAAGATTGTTGACAGTTCACTGCTCCTAGCTACCTACGGGAAGCATTGTCTGTTCTCACAACCTCGAACAAACTGGGAACCGGAGGTATGCTAAATGGAGTCACGTTGGCACTGAAGTACCCACATGGCCTGTGTTTCTTCTCCCTGTTGATTTGATCTCTGTTTGGGGTGGTTTGATGCCCCGTCATCTTGGAGATCATGCATATTGCTGCATGATGCATGCATATTGCATGCATATTGTATAGTTGCTGCTAACCTGATCATCAAACAATCTGTGGACCACGGCGCTAAGGTCCTTAATTGACAGACTGAACATCGATGAGTAATTCTTAAACTTATTATTGTTAGTTCGTATGAGATGTTGAATCGCCGCCTGCTTAATGCCTTTGATTCAACTTACTTTCTACTAGCAATGAATTGTTTTCCTTTCTCTCACTCTCCGACGTATCACCGATTGAGGACTTTTTACCTTCTATTTAATAACTGCAATTTCACGAGATGCGAAGGCATTTCGCTTCAGCCTCCGCTTTTTACTTCCCTTCCAAAACCGTACCGCACAACTAAGTGGTCCATTTCGTTAAATACAGGTAATGTGTGGTTCAATATGCACATGCTTGAATCCTCGTGCTTGTTGAACCTGTTTTTCGTTCGAACCACAAGAATGTGACGCGTTGACGCAAAAATGTTTCTGAGCGACACCGCTGCAGTACAGAAGCTATTTGGCGCACTTTTGGTTTTCGCGAACACATGCCACTATTGTAAGGAAAGTGCTTTGTATCTTAAGTAATTAAGAATTCAAACAGTTTGATTTCAGTGATTTAATTGAATGATGGAGCAAACAAGAAGCTTATGACAGAATTTCATACATTTGCCCTTTTACAACCTGGTTTCTCACAAACCTGATAGCTTTTAACCGAGCATAATGATAGTTTTTGCTCACCTGGTACGACTGTTGATTATGCAGTTTTTTGGGAACTAAGCGTGAAGCTGTGCAGGCTTCGACAGAAAGCTAGTGAATGATCTCTGAGCTGAACGTGTCTTCCGCCTGTGGACTGATCACCCAAAAGTTAGGTCCATAAAGCAGTTGTTGCATGAGTCATTCAGGTATCAGGAATGGTGGCTTCCGCAAACAGGCACATGCCGCGTCAAGACAAGTCAAGTCAGGTTAGTTAGGTCAGACATTCTATACCTTTAGGTACACTTTCTACGTCGTAAAGCAAAATCTGTCTCCGCCATGGATGAGTTTGTCCCGCTAGAGGGATTCGGGTTTCCTTGTTTTTGAGCCACAGCGTACACTTAGGAGTCATGAGAGTTTAGGTGACAGTCGTCAGACGGGTGTGATGTAGACTGACGTAGATTTGGACTGATGTAGACTGAACGGATTAGCCGACACATATCCTTTCAGTACCAGCATTCTTCAGGCCGTTACTAACACGAATGGAACCAGGAGCCCCAAGTAATGGATATCTCCTGCAGAGTACAATTCAACTGCTGAATTTTCCACATGAACGGCGGGAAAATGCTTAGCTGATACTTTGTTTTACAAGAGATCTAAAAACCGATTTAACTGCGTTAACTGGTATCCAAGCATTTCAAACGTGATGATGGTCACTGCATTTCCCGGCTTTTGATGTGTATGTCCGAGTTTATCATAGGCCCCAAATCTTTGGATTCATCGATCTTATACTCATCATTGTTCTGTGCGTGATATGAACCAAGCCAACTAACACCAAGGGAACCACTTATTCAGTTCTTCCAACCGCCTAACCTTGCAGCTTGTTTCCTCCACCTTATTTATGCCTTTTTTGTTTAGTGCTTCAAGTTTTTGACCTGGCGTGCAAGCATTGACACTTTCAACGCACGAGAGCCGGTCATCGCTACTGGCGCTCATATCTCATCAGATAGTCCGGTGAGGAGCATGTTTCGGCTTTCGGAAATAGAATCCAGCATACTGAGTTTCACTCTCTTACCTACTTTGCTTTTCCTAGCCCAGTGAATTCAGGTCAGTTGCTTGAGCATGACTTACCTATGAGGAGCTACTGCTCCTCATGTTCTATATTTGTGAAACTGTATATAATCGTTCTGTTGGGGTTTTGTGTAAATTTTACTGAGCGACGCGAAGGAGAAGAGGATGCGCACAGGGAACGCATAAGAACAACACGCAACTGTGTACAGATGAAGAATTCAGCTTCAGCGTGATATAGAAGTAGTACTATTCTGTTTATCAGATTAATTGCATGCTGCCACACAACTGCGTCATGTGCGCAACTCCAGATGGGCTTCTCAGCTCGTCGATTGCCAAGTGAACTGCATCATCGTAACCAACTCTTCATATAAACACAGCCTACTAACAATTCATCAGTAGTGTAATAGCGTCAGTTTTTTCCAGACGGGAAAGTTCCCGTACATTCGCACCCCTGCATGCTCGTTATGGACACTCACATCAGCTTGCATGATTAGATGTTGTCTGACATTTCGTGCGTAATGGTAACAACATAACTTATGGCCATAATAATTATGTTTACTTTTTATTTTACTCTACAGACATGCACACCCGTTTCCGTACCAGAGGCGACCATACAACCGAATAAAATCAATGACAGCGAACGTTTGTTGTCGAGCAATATTTCGTCATTTACTGCTCCAGTGTGTCTTACTCCTGTTGATCTAATGCCCACGTGGTTAAGCTCAAAAGGGCCACTACAGCACCCGCTCACAGGAGTGCTATCCGGTTGTCCTACCAATGAAGTAGCTAACGTTTGGCCGGCGATTTCCTCAGGGAGTTCATTTTCAAACTCGGGAGGAAATTCTGGTCCTATACAAAGTCCTTCGCCATTTTTTCTCAATCAGTGGGTGATAAGCGGTTTAATGCAGACCTGGCAACAACACCAACATCCTGCGATACAAGCACCACCTGCCTCTCTCAATTTGACCAACTTGCCCAATTTTTCCACAAAGGAAACCGATAAAATGGATCGCAACATCGATATATATTCCGATTCAGCAGTTCACTCATTGGAAGCATTTGCCAAGCGAGAATCCGTCGCGAAGAGTGAATGGGTTGCTCCCAAATGTGCAGATGAGGGAAATACAGATAATCGCCTTCGTAGTGTGGAAATCGCCCCTTCAGAGAAGCATACCAGTGTTATCCACCAGCAGTCTCGTGGGAGAAGAATGAGTTCGGTATACTACAGTGGAAGACTTTCCAGCTCTATCGGAGTAAAGAATGAACAGTGGAAGCGTCATCAGTGTTCGGGCTGTGGACATCGATCCAACTGGAAATGGGACATCAATAAACATATAAAGGTAGGCGCTTGACAATGTCAAGTTAGTCATGACGCTTTACATGGCGTTTGGGCGTGGCCCGCTACTTTAAAGAATTTTCCTGCCCCTACGGGCGTATGTACCGTTCTCATAAATGGCAGCTGTGCATGAAATTCAAGGTGCAAGTCTTTGATATCAGTTTCAACTTCAGTAAATGAAGTAGAGATCAATTTTCCCCAACTTATTATAGCTTTAGGGTCTCAGATTCTTAGTTGTCATTTAGGGCACCGTTTCACCATGGTGTCATGGTTGTTATTGAATCGTAAACCTCTGTAAATGTGTTTCCTGGCCGGGTCCTTATCAAAGAGACCATTTAGGATGCGGTGACTCTGCGACAAGGTCACAACACAGTTTGTCGATTAGTTTTTTTTATGCAAAATTAAAGGATGCGCCCTTACACTTGACAATCGAAACGTGCTTTTGAATGTTCATGTTTCTAAACAGGCTATTAGAATGTGTACATTGCGCCTGGGCGGTTTGACCTCTGTATTTTCCTCCCCTTTGGTTGCTGGATTACTTCTGCCTTCTAGAATGCCAGGTGCTCGATGGGCACACCCGATATATAAGGTTATATATTATGTAGAAAAAAACTCCCGAATTCAGCTCGCAAATCTGAAAGTAATGAGTTATTTTGCAGAACATTCTTGCTACAATGACGCCTTTTTTGGAGAAAATCTCTATTTCCGATTTCTGTGCACCCACTGGTTCGTCATATCGGCACTCTTGGTAACAGACGTTTCCAAAAAAGGCGTCCTCTTCATGTAGAAGAACTTCATATGTTCCGCTGTTTGACTAGATTTTTGTTGTTTATTTTTTCTAACGGATCATATTGGAGTGAGTCAGGGAGCCAGTGGGCGCTGTATGGTTAGTGGGGGCATGTAGGATACCGTTTGTGTCTTCCTAATATCAGTCAGTCAGTAAAAAGACGTCTTTACCGTATTTCAGGTCCTAGTCGATCAGAAATATTCCCATCACCCGCGCTCTGTATCAGCTGATTACAAGTCGCACAATACTAGAGGCAGAAGGATATCTCACCATATAGATGCAATCGACAACCTGATAGCGTCCGCTGTTCAGGATGACACCAAATGGCTCTTGTTAAAGTCGGTCCCTTTTCGCACTACGTAGTAGTAATACATCCATCGGTTATCCGTTGCTATGGATTTTACTATTTTGTGAGCAAGAATAGCATTGTTATTTGCAGGACAAACGTTGTGAAGAACTTGAAACCCATAGCAAGCGCTGTCATATGCAACAATTTTTTCGGAAAATAACACTCCGAACAAACTGCTGCGGGAGGAAAACGAGTTTCAAGCCCTGAGTAGGGGGCACATCAGAATTTTGTTTAAGCTATATTAGGATACTTATCTAAATATCCTATACAGAGCACCGGAACATCCCCACGTGAAAACAGGGAGTACATGTGTTCTCACACCCAATTCCTGTAATGGTCCATCAGCATGCCAGAGTGTTGAAGTATTCACAGTCTGACGCCTCTGATTTGGAGGTTCACTGTCTTTATCAAGCAAACGTCTTCATGTTGTTGTATTTTCACCTCCGGTGTAGATTTTTCAAATATCCTCGTCCCAGTGTAGACGAGAAATATTTACGCTAGAACTGGTGAGTGTTGGTGAACAGGATTGACACTCTATAGCATAGGATCTATCCAATTTGTGGGGTTTTCAACCTGCTGGGCGATAGGGTGACAGAATATTCCGTACCTGGATCCTGCAAGTTAAGTGTGATAATCAAACCTGGCCGTCGAGAGCCCACATTGCTTCATGTCCATCCAGATGGATAACACAGAACTCTGCACAAACCTCACGAACGATTGTACACAAAATTTGTTCCGCTTTTGTGCTATGGCCATCACCACAACTGCAAACTAACTGAAACCGTTTGTTGTTTATTGTTTAGGTTGCGCATCCAGAAAGGACGAATATTACAACCGTAACTTTAGATCTAGAAGAGGCTAAAAGAACGTTTGCGGACTACATGAATAGGCTAAAACTGTCACGTACTCGATGCTTAAACGAGCCAAGTGGCAGAACCGGTGACTCCAGTCCGTCCTGGCCCCTGAATTTTGTGCCACCCGCACCTACCGAAACGATCGGCGAAGGTTATTATCGACCATACAAATGCTCCATATGTGGACATCGGTAAGTGTTCATGAGCCGATAAAAATTAAATTTGACGTTAAAAATTCTTCTTGAATTCATGAAACCTTTCATCGAATCATATTTATTGTCTTACTAGTTGCTCGATGACAGTGAGCTCCTATTCGCTGAAATGTAACTTTGATGCGAAATTGTGTAAGTTTTCTTCGTGAGGAGGGTTGCCCTTTTGAGGCAGAATAACTCGTAGATATGTTTTCGGATGCTGATACGGAAGAACGATGAGTGTTAGTGCAAGTTATAAGAAACCAGTCGCATTTTTGGTGACTTGACCGGGAGGTTATACCGGTTCAATGCCTATGGAGACAGAATCTGGCTCACTAGTTCACCATAGTGGGTTGATCCCTATTTTCCAAGAAAAAAGGACTCTAAATTGACTCTACAGTTTTGTGGGTTTTCTGTTTGCGTTCATAGCCAGTGACTTTGGTTTAATCACACAATGAACCTAAGATTGACTTTATCCACGGAGATCATCAAATCGTTATTTTATTGGATTGATAGGAGCAACTGGAAGTGGGATGTGCGAAAACACATCAAACACCTACACAACAGCAATGCCGAAGTGATTACCCTGAGCTTGGAGGAAGCACGCCGAACGATCCATCAGTATAAGAGTTGCAGACGACAGCAAGTTCGTAACTCCACTGACACACCTTCATTTGGAAGGCAGCTGGAATGCATCTCTCCAGACACATCGCTTGGTAGTAGTGAGAAGGAAGGTACAGCTGTTCCACGAATACCATCATCCTTTAGTTCCGTCAGCCCCGTTACTGGGCACGAACCAACTACCCGACAGACGTCAACGTCCACGGAAGATGTCAAATCGCCTCTTTCAGCATGCTCTGTGTTCAGCGCCTTTGTAAGAGCACGCAGAGCTCGTCCAACCACTACCGGGAGTTCGGCAAGAATATTAGGAAAGCAAAATATTCATCTGCGCTTCGTTTGCCGTACATGCTTTCGACGTTTCAATTCTCGAAGAGCCTTTGTATTTCATTCATTTTACTGGCATCGTCGACAAACCAGTGGCTTTTCTGTCCCACCAAGACCTGCTATGTTATATGAGTGTAACTCCCGTGCACAGATTCGCACTACAGCAAGGGTAAGTCCCCAGAAGTAACTGTCTAATTTATGTAGTTAAGCTATGTAATATTTGTTCGATCTTGTTAGTTATTATCAGCCTTTGTGACACTCATAATTACGAAGAGTGTTAAGCACTTTCATAAAGGTTGCTGAAAACTCTTCGACGGCTCACAACCGGCTTCGCCCTTCTTGGGGCTCATCAGGTAGGCGCAGTCCCCGAGGTTCCGTCAACCTTATGTTCTACTTGAGCCCAAATCGGACTGTTTTCGAGAAATACACTCATTTTCAAATCAATTTCGTTTTCACGAGAGACTCAAGTGAATCTCTCGTTTACGATATTCTACAACTGAATGTGCTGCACACAGGCCGCCTCATGATTCAATTGACAGGATATCCGAGATATCGCAGTATATTTTCATAAAGGGAATTACTCACAAGGTTGCTGAAAACTCTTCGACAGCCCGCAACCGGTTTCGCCTTTATTGGGGCTCATCAGTAGGCGCATTCAGTTGTATAATATCATAAACGAGTGTTAGGCACTCTTCAGTCGTTAGTTTATTCCGTTTTAGTTCTTGTATTCACCATTTGAGCACTCCAAACTGCCCTCATATTTCATTTGAATAGGATTATCAATTTTTACGTCAACTCTGTTTCAGAAACTCATACGAAGTACCGACCAACCCACTTTTCCCGAAAACCTCACTGGGAAGTCATCGCCTCAAGCTAACATCTCATTCACTCGAGTGGGAGCCCAACAACTGCAACAACAGCAAGAGCATCGGAGAGATGAGCCCACCTACAATACTTCCACAGAAGGGAAGAATTGTCGAAGCCCCTCCACCTCTTCTTTTCCGGCTCGTAATTCTTTACAATGTCGACGCATTCTGCATGCTTCTCGCAAATCATGTGTGGAATTCAGTGCCAACAGGAAAAGTGATCCTGGATGGAAGCCACTCCGAACTCGAAGGGATGGTAACATCCACACTGTTCGTACTGGAAAAATTGAGTCGACATCAGTAGTTGACACAGTTGGACAATTATCCACTCTTCTAGACGAATTACTCGGCCTGTTAGATGAAGTGGGTGACAAATCCAGGTACGAGCCGATCCCCTCACTTCCTGGGAAAGACCAGATTCCCAATGGGCCCAGCTCCGATTCCGCCATGACAAATCGTAATGTGATAAAACACTTGGCCGAAGTGATTGAAGAAACGGTTTCCAAGAATGAGAATATAAGCTATTCGAATCAGCTAAATGTCAGCACTAGTTCAAATGAAGAGAATCAGGGCCCGATCCACTGTAAAAGGTGAGTGCCGTTGTGCTGGTTTTCACCACCGGCTTGTACATTTATGTGTTTTCTCTCCTGATGACCACCAAAAACCGCTTTTGGTTGTATATAATTTTCGCATTGCAAACACAGTGCTTGACATATTTAAAGCAGTAAGCGTTCAGCTTGCTGCCTCAGTGTGAACACCTTTTTTAAAAGTGGGGTCTTCCCAACAACACATTTATTCCTTTACTTATTGCTCAGCCTTAATTCCGGGACCTGTTGCTAAAAGAAAGCTTAGGCTCTGTGGCAGAAAGATTTTCGCGCCTAAAATCTGGCTTATAACCTACCTCCTTTTATTCCACTAGGAACCTTTTTTGGAACCACCTAGTGAAAAAAACAATGATTTATTTATTCCTCACTCTCGCCCTGCTTTTTAGCACCGTTCACGACGTGGTGCACCACCCGGCTGTTGAGAATCGTCTGATGAAACTGGCGACCATATTCCATAGACTCTCCGACACTTCCACCGCTGTACTCAAATCGAGAGGAACGCAGATCAGTTCAGAGCATCCTACAATAATCACCAATATACAACGTACTGCATAAAGACAAAGCATGTTTAGTTTCTTTCAAAAAGCTTATTTTTCATACACATTTCATAACATTCTCGGTCATCCCTACTTCCATTCCATGAAAAAAGAATGTACATAAATTTCGCCCATTATCCTCGTGATTAATATTTATTCCAACCGCCAACGATACAGATGGGTGGTAGCTTTGTTTTCCAGCGAAGCAGACAGAGTCAATCAATCAGTAATAGTGAACTCAGTTCATACGTCACTTTTAATCCATTCGTTTCTTACCGTTTCTTGACGATTTTCGCTACATTTTGTTTGTGCAATTTTGAGGCTTGTTTGCTTTTTCAAAACCAATTGCTGCGGGGCAATCTTCAGATCGCCGTATTTCTTGTCTTTCACTTCCATGGGCTGTCGGAGGTGGGGGCAGCCCCTTTGCCGCGATTAGGTGACATTTAGGTCGATTTGAGCAACAGAGGATGGCAGATACTGGAATCTTTGAGACAGGATGCATCGAATCGATCTAGCCAATATAGACTGGATCTCTCTGGTGCAGCCTCGACCAGGCCCATCCTGTAGAAAATAGGCGCATATATGTCTCAGCAGGATCGGTCTTATGGGTCACCAGTGTACACACCGATTCATATAGTAAATACAAACCACTAGAAGAGAAATAGGTTGGTTACGTCTCCCGACCAGTACTTGCGTGGTGTGCCGTCTTAAGATCAACAACACCAGTAATCATATAGTTACTACAAGAGGGGCCCTTGACCCATTATCACCTCGACAGTACACTCACGGACGCACGGGAACATTTGCACGATATTGCAATTAAGGTGAGGTGGTACTGCATTATAACTTAGGGAAAATGACGGAAGATTCCAGTGCCTCAATGATGAACAAGTAACTAGTGCCGGTGCATACCTCTGCGTGTTTGTCGACCCGTTGGGTTTGCACCAACATCAAGGGCATGAACGCAGTACCACATTCAGCACCGCTCAAAGCGACTGAGATTTACGAGCTATTCGCAAGTATTCAATAGCTAGGTTTTCGGATAATTCCCTCACCGACCAAGGCTGATACTCAATCCCATGAACTTTCGTGCAAAACTGCGTCATATATAAGAGAAGAGAAGATAACGAACACACCTGGTTTCAGTGATACCCAGCGTCTGTTTAGAAAACGGTCTGACGGTATAATATTACGAACGAATGTCAGGAGGGAAACTTAAAACAGCTAGTACATGCGGTCTTATGGTTATGTTCTATTGAAATGGAAAACTTATCTAATGATGTGCTTAAGAGACCGCGCCCAGAGAATGCACCTGAAGAACCATTCGCTGAGTTGTTATCTTTGTGAAAAGTGTATATAAACAGTGGTTATCCTGCGGGGCTTTTAAACAGAGGTGTACGGAATTTAATCAAGGCTAGACGTATACTAACATATCCAAACAGACCAGCTTGTGTGACATTGCCAGCTAGGACGGACAAGTTAGGTCACCCCAATACGAGAAAAATGACTATCGCAAGATACTAGCTATAAAATGCTTCCAAATTTCAGTTAACCACACCAGGTTCGCATTTCCAACCACATTGCTTCAGCAGGTGGTTACTTTTTCCCGGTTTCATTAGCCATGTATAAATGATTCTACACTTTACTCACTCTGATTTCGCTAAACGAGATGATAGTATAGCTACTGTATTAGGCCTGATGAATACTACCGGAACCAAACTTGCTCTATGAGTGCTGTTTGTCATACCAAGTCCTAAGGGATTATGGAACTATTCTATTCGCCCCAAAATGTGCTGTTGTCATGCGAGTGGGACGAAGCTTCCTACAATGAGTTGAACATACATATGGTTATCTGCTCTTATTTGATAACTCCACCAAAGATCTGTCACCCATCGCATCCTTCAATCGGCTCTTGTAAGTGGAGTTGCTGTGTTCTTGCTCGTCTTGTCGCCTAGCTGCACTGTTCTGTTTGGGACCACATTTCAGTCAGACAGCGCAGCTAGTGCGGGTGTTTGAAACACTACGGCAATTTCCCTAGCAGACGCTAAGACTACGGTCTCAACATTTCGTGCGGGATTACTTAAAGCTCCACTGCACATCAAGTTTATCGGTGACTGGTTAATGCATCGACTACGTGAAGGTTCAATAGATGTAACCTATGTTTAGATTGTGCGGCACAGATGTCATTGTGTAGAAAAAACAGACGCGAAAAAGCACTGAATTTCACCCAAAAATTGTGACAAAAAGAGGTTCCTGGAGATCAAGCACGAAAACGTGTAGTGATTTCATTCTGGTAGTTCTAATTTTGAGTGAAGGTGTGGGCACTTTGCTGCCTGAAAACTCTTGTCCGGAGGTCGCACTCGACACTGGATATTGTCATGCACTGCATACACAAAGTACCCGGTAGACAAAAAATAGCAGTTTTCCCCTGATACTGCTAATCGTCCACGACATGTTGGTGGGGCCCCAATGCCATTTAAATTCTCATATTCCCTTGCATGTTGTTATGCACATCTCCGATTTTTCACCTGGTGGAAGCATATTAATAACCCAGTGCTCGGTTGTAGATTTGTCCTATCCTACGTTTTACGTGCTAACCCAATAAATCAGTACTTTGAAATGTCAAGACATGGAAATCCACTCCATTTAGGGGAGGGGGTGATTCCAACCCTGTTTCAATAACCTCTCATTTATGACTGAAATTTAGGTTAGCATTACCGTGTGAAATAAGAAGGACAACCACCTGAACCAACCCAGAATAGCCCCCCAGACTTTACCAGAGCAAGATGAGCTAAATTTCATGCTGCCAAGCTGATTGTACGAGACTGACCTCGCAGCGTCGTACTGGGGATTGCAATCACTTCAGATCCCTCAAGCGGATCTGTTGTTCCCCAGCTGCGTTACCAAAGCTACTTCAGAAAGATCGATATCTTTCAAACAGTTGCTCAGAACAGTTTCAGATTTGGTGGACTAATTGGGATTATCCTTGACAAACTTTTGATCGAAATCGGCATTAAAACCTGGTATAATCTTCAGCCAAAGATCGTGTTACTCCAAAATTTCCCTTCGAAACAGTTACGAATTCAAGCGCTTGGACGTAATCATGCGCATTTCCGCCTGCTTGCACACATGGTTCGCTCTTATCCTACGAGTCGGTGACCCCTAACTGAACCAATGCAGCATATGCCATGATGTACTGATATGCAACGAACCATATAGGCATCTATTTTACCTGCAATTGTTTGCGATAGCAGGACAACTTTCCTTCATGTTTCTCCTCAGAGCTACTTGGCTGAGAATATGCTTTATTAGGCCTTATTGATGCCCTAACAGCATGCAGACAAACTAACTAGCTTCTGTGCGGTAAAGTCAAGTGGCCCGCATGAAATATAAGAAATGAACTGTTCTTAATAGGCACGTGTTCAGGCTGGTGTGCAGAATTACACAGAAGGATATATAGGAAATATATTCTTTGAAATCACTAATAATCGATGCCCATCTCTTGAGCTCTGATCGAAGGAATGTGACCTCACACGGAAAGTAGTATTGTTGTTCAATCAACAGACAGCCAGGTTGAAAAGAGGACGTATTACTTTGTCCTTGGATGGGATTATGGATCTGGAGTAAGTGGTATCCCTCAAGGGACCCTGGATTCATTTTTGCGAGGTCAGCTGAACTGACTGCTATGGGTTACTGAGTACAGTAGATGAAGCTCTCTGATTGGTGATGGTGGTGGTGCTTAACCAAGTGAACCGTTTTTTTCTTCAATTTTTGTGTGGTGCTCAATGTCTGGAAAGTTTATCAGTTGGAAGTATTCCTTATACACATTATATGAGAAAGATACCAAGGCGTTCACAAAAAATTCGGCTAGAGTAATCCTACATATACAGAACCTGGTCACTTGACGACCAGGTTCTTACGGACAGTCCTCAATAGCTTCCCGTCACTCAGTGAAAGATACAAGCTGGAGGTTGCAAGGACGAAGGTTGAAACAATGCGTCATCTGCTTTGTTGGATAGGTGGAGCGGGTTGCTATCTAAAAACCTGAAAGCACATGGATAATTACCGATGACAAATGCCATGCACATAATTCGGCGGTACTTCGTGTTAAGCCTGTGGTTAGACACATCACTCACAACAGTAGATTTATTACTGATATTATTATCAATATTATCAATATCAATTCATTATGAATACTATTATTGTACAGTCAGAGTGGAGTCGGGGAAAACAAGTAGCAAGGCAGGAGAGAAACGGGGTAGAGGACTCAGTGAAGTTGCATCCTGGGAAACCCTGTTTGTCCGATAGTGGATCGAAGTTGGGCAACAGAGGGAGTGTGTGTGACAGAGAACTCGGGAGGGAGGTGTTAATTTTAAGCCTGTCATAGGCATAGTCTCGGGTTCAGTCCCTGTATACGTGCCACCAGACAGAAATTACCAGGTTTTCGTTCCACCCAGGTGAAACAGAGGCGGGTCAACCGGTTTGGGTCAAAATGCTGACTGAAACATGTGTTTGTGTGTGCAGATGAAAAGTACAACATCCAAGTAGTAAGTACAACCGTCACATAAGCAGAGGCGCCCAAAGAAGGAAAGCGATATCACACGGCAGTGGTCAATACATGACCGATCAACTCATCAGCAACGCAGAGTGGATACGACAAGAAGACAGAGTATACTAGTCAGGTGGGTAGCAACTCAGTGACTATCAAGTATTTTACGGTCTCTATGTGCACAATAATTCGAGTTTACAGCTGCAGATGTAGACGAACCGGTAATGTTGACGATGTCAGCCAGGTCTCCACAAACAGTGTCAAAGTAGTCAGTCACACTAATCGACGGGTTCGAATAATATCCGACCTGAAACGGTGGTTTGGAAAGATTGATAACTGGAAACAATGCCCGAAGCGGAAAAGCACATTGCTTGCTCCATCTGATCCCTAGTTATCAAGTAAAAGACGGCCCTCAGTTCAAGATGCTGCTGGCTGCGCATTTGTGAGGATAGGGAAGATTAGGGGAAGGAGAGCGATTGAAAAGGTGAGTTTCACTAGGCCGGATAGCAAGGAAACACGGGAAAAGACAAGCAACTGAAAGAACACAGAATGAAAAAGGGAAGAAGAGATGGAGAAGAGCACGGCCAGCGCCACAGTAACTGTACACTGTATGATACAAAAAATTTATTCTGGTGATTACCTAGGTTTGCGTTTTTGTACATAAGTCTCACCAACTCCCAATGATGACGGAAACAATCGTCGGAAATCTGTGGATTGAGGAGAGGGAATGCACATGTTGGGAAGTTTTATCCAAGTAAGCTTCGTAAGTATCCGGAACATTACACTTACAAATTGGAGTCGAAACAGAATGCATGGTGGGATTACTTCAAAAAAAGGGCAAAGAGTAAGTTACCGTGACTGTCGAGCAATAACTACAAGATCGAATCGCAGGAACCTAGTAAACCCGGGGTGCGGGGAGATTATGAAACATGAATATGCATGAACTTAAGATACTCTCGCACTTCAATCACGTTGATGTGCTAGGGGGGATTTCTTTGACAAAATATTCTTTGTTTGTCGAGTTATTCTGATCCAATAGGTTAGGCTCGCTTGTCGGTGTCGTAGGCGTATCTGAGAGACTGCCTGCCCCGCTACCTTCACTTTCGTTCAGATGCTTGTCAATATGGTTTACTGACGTGTCGGGTATTCCAGATGGATGGGAATTTTCGAGTAATTTCAGATTCAGAGCAGTGGTTGGAGAAAGGCATCTTTCCGATCCATTAGGATCTGTAGTCACATGGTTTTCAGCTGTGGGTAAGCTGACAAATGGACTTGAGGAAACAGATGTTAGCAGAGGATCGGTATGATCGTCTGGACCACGTGATCTTTTGCACTCGGGAGGTTGGAAGTTACTGGGGTGTGAAACGGCAGCATCTTGTTCGTGACGAGATGGAACAGTAGCATACGAATTAATTGTGTCGCAAGAAATACTGTTGTCTAACAGTTCGTGAACCGAAGGTTTGGTCAGTTTAACTGCTGCACTGGCCGGCGATAGATCCGTTGCCATGTCTGACTCGTCTGGACGAAAAACGCGTCGACTTATATCTCGACAAAAAGGATTCACGTGATCTCGGTTGGTTCGTAGTGGTGCCGGAGTGGAGTACGATGGTTCGGTTGAATTATCTGGATGATGAGCATTTCTTGCTGCGCACACACTCGACGGCGCACAGGGCCAGTTGAAGGCGTGTGGATCTTTGCTGGAACGCCAAGGGCGAGGAATTTCATTATGTGCATCTCGTTGCAGTGAACGTAAACTGAGAGACTCAGGTTCAGCAGCATGCTGGTGAAAACCGTGTGATGTGCGTGAGGGAATTTTGGAGTATGATAAAGCAGCGGGAGGTCGACATATTGGATTATTTGGATTATTCATCGGTAGAGTGAATTCAGTCGGAACGGAAAATGCAGGTTTGGAGCGCATCGCTATGCTTGCTCTCGTGTTCGGATTTTGGTAAGAAGCAGGATAAAATGGGCTGGGTAGTCCAGGAGGAAAACGTGAAGAATAGGCACCCAAACCTGAGGAACGAATTCCTCCCGTTGAAGAGAACGGATCAATGAAATTAGGCAAACTTTGATGAGTCATCTGAGCCATCCTCATTCCTGGGTGATCCAGAATGAGCTGAGAAGATCCAAGATGTGTTGGACCAATAGGAAATTCTTCAGCTTCCGAGTCCGAGATGAACCGAATGCATTTCTTCTTCCGCCTGTAGAATACAGACAAGCACGAACATTGAGAAACAAGAGAATGACGACAAACGATGGTAACCGATTACCACGACATGTATCGGTAAACGGGCCTCAAGTATCTTAAAGAAATCAAGCTGTGTTTTTAGGTAACCTGATCCTGAGATGCAAGTATCCATCACTTAGTAGGACGAGCAATGAGAAACGGATAAGTGCTGTATGAAGTTACATGATGTGCGACTAATTTCGTATAATTCGAACCTGGATCTGTTACGACATGATTACTTCAATATTTATAGTCAATACTTAACTGTCCTATTGAGTTACTCGGCAGAATTTACTTCCTCGATCACAGTATGCTCATAAATTCATTGATCACTTTGGTTCTGAGTACAGTCAACTCCGGTTGAACTGACGAAGGCGATGGTGCTGGGTCCGGTTGGCCTAGTGGACCGAATATGTAACACTTGTCTCAGGCAAGGATTTCACAAGAATTGAGCGTAATTTGATTCAACTGCACCAAGAATGGGCCTATCAGTCAACTGGAATAGCTTGATGATGAATAGTAGTTTCTCAGAAAATGTGAACTACGAATGAACCGAAATATCAGTGGCGATTATCGCCAGACAACTTTTATCAGTGTCCTCAACCTTCAGATTCCAAAATCCTTTAAGTAATTTTTAAGAAGCACAGATTTCTCCTGGTGTCACATAAAAATATGACGGAATATCAATCGCCAAAGATCCTGACAAACTCACGTGCTTCCTCAAGTTTGTAAGTTAGTGTTTTAGTTGTTTTTAACAATTTAGCACGGTTATGTCATTTTCATCGAATATAGATTATTCCAGACATTTTTTCGGAATAACCAGACCAGGACACGAAAACCATGAAAAATCTCAACTTTCATTGCACATTATTAGCTACCATCAGGTGCTTCTGGTTTGTTTTCCGACTGTGGTCTGTGTACGGACTTGATGGCTCCATATTCGTCAGTTGCACACTTGCTTTACTTAGGAATGACGGGAAGGTGCATATCCGCAAGCGAATGGACCTTTCAGAAGGTCGAGGTCAAATTAACACCCAGCAGCTTCGGAAATAAGCACATTTTCTTGTGCTTCTGAAGTGTCACCGAGATGCTGGTCCTGACAAACTCGTTAGTTCTCGTAGGACGCGTGTATCAGGCTACAGGGCAGCTTGCATTGCTGTACTGTTGCAAAAGTTGACCACTTCGGATACAGAACCATCATTTTCTATAGGTGTGTTCAAAGATTCCATCAGCCACGGGGACACCTCGAATAGTTGAACATGGTAGAATTCCCGTTACAGGGCTTTACACCTCGGTAGTTGACAACGTCTAACGACGCACCCAGCATGCATACGCACTTATTCTATGAATAAATGAGAGAACGGCGACTGACGAAACTAGCTACTGACTTACTATCGATCTACTGCTTTCTGCGAGTGGTCATTAAAAGGATCAGGAAGCATAAAGCTCATGTAAGCACTGGTTGGAAGATAATACTTTTGGTTGACCTGAAGCTTGCAAGAAGATTTAATTTTCTGTGTGGTGACAAGTTTTATAACACCCAAAGGCACATGTTGCTCCCCAAGTGCCCGTGATGCTTGCAGGTAAAAAGCCGTATAATGACGCGTGGGTGGGTACAATTTACTCCAGATAGCGTGATCCTGAAGCGTGCGAACTCCAACAGAGAACAAGAATTAACCTGGGAAAACAAGCCAAGTGAGCATACCACAAAGTGGAACACATGCGGCGGTACATTTCAAATTTTGGAATGTGTCCAAACGCATAATCCGATCATTACAGTGCACATTGGCAATGATAAGCGTCTCTCAAGCTAGGTAAAGAGTCGATGGACCGACCTTCACTGGCCATTAAGCTGTCTTCATGTGAAAGTGAGCGTCTGCACGATTGGACCGGAACCCCTAAAGTTGCCTTCCCGATTTCTACAACAGCAGCGGTTTCTTCTCAAATTGCATTTTAACACACTTCAGGTGATCGTTCCATAATATCATAGAATTGGGTCATCCAAGGTACACGGCGGACACACGTTACACATCCCGCAATCGTTGCTTCGTAACACAGTTTATACAGTCTACTGGAAAAAGCAACATGGACACGTAATAAGAGGGGTTGGAGCCCGACTATGTTAGATTGTCCCTGTACAACCTCATCCCGGTGTTTCATTTAAGTAGGATGTTCCAGGATAAACCACTTCAGACGGACTGAACCATTCGCTTTGACCCATGAGGAATCGCCATTTCGCTTCCTTCATAAACTATCGGATACTTTCAACTACTCAAAAAGTGAAGTAGTTAAACTGAAACGCGCCAAAAATGACGATTCGAGATCTGCAGCCAGTAACTTTGCCTTTCTTGCGCAGCCCTATTCACTCCAAGCGGGCGAAAGTCAACGTGCAGAACAAGTTGAATTACGGAACCAAATTCCTTGCTCATATCTCATTACAACATCAATTTACTACTGAGTAACAATGAACAATCACCCTGGCGTGAATGGATGCTCTCGAATACTCCAGGGTAATAAATGGACGGTGATGGTAAGAAATGAGCTTGGATGAAACTGGCTACGGAATACTGAACGATATGGGCCATCGTGTATAGAAATTGGGTTAAAAATCAATGCGTGGTAGATGGACTCACCGACATGGTTTGCACCACATATTTTGATGCTCCAAACCAAAACGTGCACGACACTTTTTCAGACTGCCTCCAGTCAGTTCACTCGCTGCCATGGCAGCAGCAGCTGCTACGGCTGCCACGGTAGTTGGCGATGATGGACCGATACCGCCAGGACCAATCCGACCGGGGCTATAGTCTGATATACGATTGGAAGCCAGCAGTTCATTGATTGCTGCTGATCCAATGGGTCTTGGCCCAAAAAGGGAGGACGGTGATCGAGTGTTTGACATAAACGGAGCTGAACTCAGTTGCGGAGGTTTAGGAGAAGATGGATGGAAGTAGGAATGTCTGTAGCTATTTGGGACCATTGGCGAGAGAGGTGAACGTGGATGGTGATTGTTAAAATTAGGTGCCGTAAAATTCATAGAAGCGGCCATCGCAGCCGCAGCTGCTGCAGCAATTCGTGGTGGAAACATATCCGGAGACCGCGGGTAGCCGCCACACACGGATTCCGGAGGAGGACGTCTTTGAGATCCATTAAACGAACTCTCATCAACCGGCTTCGCAAAACTATTAGATGAGGATACTGGCGATTTGTCAGAGTTATGAAGCAGCCTTGTCGTTGTCGGTGGACCAAAATCTGGATTTCCAAAAGGAGTTGGTGTTCTACCAGGTTGTTGCGCGTGCGGTATAGGACGCCATAGATCAAGTGCATTCGCCTTGCAAGACTCACCAGCCGAGGTGCCATTGTGCAACCGTTTAGTCGAAATGTCCAATTGCCCAACAATCCTTGGAGGTGAACAGGAATCGGCGCGGGAGATATTTCGTTCTGCTTTTGCAGCGTCTTGTCGTAGATTAGTATAGGAGTTATCCGTAGGAGATGAGGTATGTCGGTCGAGCGAGCGGGATAACTGCCTGAACGTACAGCTTGGTTGTGACCGAGCTAGATCATCTGATGGCCGACCGACTGGCGGTGAGGCATACACACCAGGAATGGGTTCTATTTGCGAATGTGATAAAAACGTATGTCGACTTTTACAACGCTGCGAACTGATCACACTAGCCGATGGGTTGGATATAGGCGAAGGAGATCGTGCAAAATCAATGAGGCTTCGTGGAGAAGATCGATTCGAAGCATTTTCACAATCCATAAGTTGTTGTTGCTGCAAGTGGGATGAAGGTGAGTTTGATGGTTTCGTATCTGGTGCAGATAATCGATCCTGTGTGGGTCGTACAGGTGCACTAACACGGGAATATCGCGAAACGCGTGTATGCAGCGAATGTCGTCGAAGTAGATGTCTCCGTCGTTTGCGTCTCCGAGCATGATAGGCATAGTTATCTCTAGCTGACCAGTTCGGATACAGCTGTTGGTGTAGTTCCTTCTCGCGTCGAGCCATTTCGTAGTACTTAGTTTGTTCCTCTCGTGAGAGTTCATGCCACTTCTTACCCAGAACTTGGTTTATGGCTGCTGATTCTTTTAGAGTGCACTCCTCTTGCACACGAGAACGCATTTCTTTCATGAAAAGCATGAAGGCGTTGAGTGGCTTCTTTATATGCATCGGCCCTTTCGTGTAGGCATTGTGTGACCCGCGTTTCCCAGTCTCCGGTATTGTCCCATCGTCTAAGCGCGATCGTGCCGAGATTAGACGATCCTGGTCTAATTCTTTCGTGAGAAGTTTGTTCCGAGGACCCCGACCTCTGTAAATTGTGAGCAAAAAACAGAGTTAAACTCTATGGTATTGAGTACCTTATAAGGAGCTCAAGAAATCACCCTTAAAGAAATATGTCGTTAAACTACGCGGATCTCTGGTGTTCCGCCGTCATGGGGTCCTAAACCCTATGGGCAATAACAACGACAGAATAACATAACATCACCATACGAATTAGGAGCCATATCTTACAGTATATCCAGCCAAACACCATGTGGGCGTTATCTTGAATGGCGAACCATACCGAATATACCCAGATTTTTGTGCCGTCTTCATGCTGGTCTTGTGGTAGATGATGATAGATGAACGTATATAAACAAGGACCAGTGGTGTGAGCCTTCAATGACGAGACAACTTTCCCCGGCCTCACAAGCGAATACCATTTAAACAAACCACTGTTTTTAATGACGGCCCCAGGAAACATTGACACTGATGAAACAATACTGTGATCATCCGATTTAAGATCTAATCCACTCACCAAAACCAATTTCATAATCCGAAAAAATAAATACAGCAAAGAGTTACAACACAGTAGTTGAGAAGTTACCGCTCCATTTAGCCAGCCTAGTGAGAACCATTGCATTTGAAATCAAAAGCACCGATAACATAATTGGAACAGTTACTGCACTTAGACTGAGATAGAGTGGGAGAGTGAGAGAGATAGAAGTAAAACTCTGTCATATTAGGGGTCCCGAAGTGGAGGTCTCCCAAGTAATTTCCCTTCCCCATTGTTCGCACAGTCTCATAAACCCCAACAACATGGGTTGAGGTGAGGCTGTAGCAATTACACGCTCTTGTTGCCAATTTCACAAGACATATCATGGCTACACTTCATTAGATAAGCGGTAAGAGGCAAGATGGGGGAAAGTGATAATGACAATAACAACTTGTTGTCGGAGTTGACCTTCAAGGGGATGTAAGCCTACTTTCCACGTATAGTTTAGCATTCGTACTTTTTAACTGCGAAACTGTTAGCTATAGTTCTGCTAAGTGGACATTCCTGATATCAAGAATGTTTGGGAATGTACTGCGTTTAGTTGTTTACGGTACCAACGCAGAAATTCACGATGGCACATAGTGAATTTAACTGTGAGGTCTAATGAAATTAGTTAATTTAATTAATTTAATCCTGGAGAGAATGCTTACTAGAACAGGGTTTCCCTTCTAAGAAGGCCACCCGAAGCGATGAACCGGAAAAAGATGGTCTCTTTGAGATCTGACTATTCCTGAGAGGCACTCAACCAGTGAAAGAACCTTAAAGGGATGAAGTAAGACAGGTCTGTCTAGAGGAGAATAACTCAATACGTGATTTTCTGAAGAATCCCGGGTAAAATCTTTTCAAAACGATGAAATTAGGTGGACTAAAAAGGTAGTCTTTTAACGGTGGGATGTGTTAGTATGCTCTTTTGAGCATAAACTGGTGCGTTTGGCCAAGTAAAGTTCAGTGATTCGCCTACATTTTAGTAAGTTCAATTAGATCCTATCTGTATAGCACGTTACTTCAATGGTGGGGAGCCCATAGTGACGCCACCATTGTAGTTAGGTAGCTATTTGCTTTTCCGCCCTGGGGACGGAAGATCTTCTCCATGTTACTTGCCTTCCAGAGCCCGAGTAACCGGGTAGCTACGACAAGGATGAATAGCCCTCGTTTGGGAAAATTTCCTAATATTTAGAGTAGCCAGAGCGTGGCCACCAAAAGAAACCGATCGATCGATGGTGAACATAATTCACAATTAGCTCAACCCGTCTAACAGAGTCAGCAGGCAATCTTTGAAGAGGGTGTTTGGTAATGTAACCAAAAGTCACACAGAACGGACCCACCCGAGACGAATGTGACGGATGGTTTCAATGAGATGCACATACATACATGCAAGCATACACGGACACTCCGTAGGTGAAGGGCGAAGGACGACCACCACCACCACAAACACAACCAGATGACGGCGACGCTTAACGCCATCCATCAAAAGCATGCCACCTGTCCTTATGCCACCGGACGAGACGGGAAGCGCAGCGGTAGTAGGTGGTCGGTCATGGCCGAACCACCGTTGTACGTAGTATATCACGCAAGCGGCTGAGTGCGCGAGCAGACACACATTAATGGGTGAATTTCTCACTCACGAAACAGTATTATCCATCATCTTGATTGTGAAAATAAGTCCTGATCGTGCGTGCGCAATACAATAAAAATGTAGCAACAGTAGCAGCAATGAGAGAGTGGTCCACACAAACACGCATACAGCAGAGCTAGCACGCGCCCTGTTGACTTGACAACCTGTCCAGATTTGATCCATTCATCCATCACGTTTGTCGACGACCTCCCGTCAAAAAAAGAAGGGACAGGCGCAAGCGCGCAAGGGAGCTGTATGCATCCACCCATCCGTACACACACCTACAAGACCAGGGGTTTCACTTCAATGCGTGGTATGAGGCAAGTCAACCGCTCCCAGAGAAGATAGCGCGCAATCGCTTACAGTGACTTGTATACGAACTGCGGTAACTATGGTGTCAATACATTCGTCCATTGTGATTAGGTTTTAGGGTGGATTGATAAGGAATGAATAGAATATTGCTTGGATCTCGGTTGGCTGTGGTGTGTTCACAGTCATAGTAGTGAAGAGATGTGGAGTAGGAGTCGTGATTTATAGGACAATCCAGACAGCAAAAAACATGGAATGTTGCGCTCTCCTACAGGTGGTGGGGATGGTGGTGAGTTCTTATAATGTAAGCGAACGTGCCACCACACCATTTTGCGGATGATAATGATAAGAAGGAAGAAATACAAAATGTCAAGGAGCAGAAAAATATGTAAACTGCGGCAACAGACCCTTCCGCTAAGTTGGCCGAAAAAAGCACACGGCGGAGCTCACTTAGTGGGTTTTTCGCAGGAAGTGATGCAAATTGAATGAATCTGATTGAAAAGCATTAAGCATCATATCAACTTCGGGCGTTTGTAAGTCACTTGAACTAGCATGTCAATGCAAACCACTGGGCACGTGCGTCTGAGAGAGAGAGCTTTATCCTATCGCCTCTGTTCTTCTTGTTTCGGCATAGTTTTTAAGATAGACCTATTGGAATCTTAAGATGCCTTTGCGACCAGCTAAAGATGATACGACGTCATCATCATCATCAAAGACATCGACATCAGTGATAACACTGATGCTTTACTGCCGTACAACCATGACGTTCGTCTAATTATATTTGAAGCTCTAGAGTGAAAAGAATGGATAAAGTGTGGGCGAGGGAGGGGACTCAGTGCTCGCCTATGTCAAACATTCTGAGGTGTCTACATCTCCAGGCGTTCAATCAGACAATCTGGAAAGAAACTGACAACACGAACGCCATTGACATCGATTAGCCGCCATTTCCTGCAGCGTCTCCAGTCAAGCACCGGGACCCCATCCTGAAAGGCGTACAACACCAACAACACCCAAACTCTTCGTGATCTCTTTCACGCCCTTCTGCCAAGCCATGCGTCGTCATGATGAGGACGATGTCCTGAGAAGCGTTCAACGCTTCTGGCCTCACTCCATACCCTTGGAACATCACCAAGTCTTAACATCAAGCCCTTTCTAGATTGTGTAGGAAAATGCGTGCCATCATAACACGAAGGAGGCCCCATCCGCATACAGTGCGAAGATTAAAGCTATGATTAAGGGTAAGCATGAAGACTAACGTCTCAGGAAACCACTCGCTGTGAAGCATTGAACATTGAGGATGGACTAAACGTAACTCCGAAGCGCTGACTGGGTCCGGTGGGACAATCGCATCAGCATTGCTAAGTTAGGCCAGACGGTTTTGGGATAAAAAAACTCTCCAACAGTCGGGTTGACAACTGCTGCTTTTCTGGATGGGGACTCTGGGACTCATCTCATCAGTGGTTGAAGATACTGGAAGCAATGACTCAGTTATGCAGTTAGCGCCGCTCGTGCGTCAGAGCTATCAGGTTCATAGTATGGGTGCCTCATTTCCCGTTCCCTCGGGGCAAGATACAATGTGAAGTAAATGATCAATTCATCGCCTCTCATGCTTGGCTATAAGTCCCACGCTCTCTTATTTCCCGACGACCGAAAGTGTAGCAGCTGGAACAAGCGTACTCTTGGTACATGCTTTATTACTAACAACTGAAATGAACTTAAAATCGGCCACTGTCTAGCAACTCCAACGGGGATATTGTTGGTTACAAACCCGGCGAGCAGACACAAAGAGTTGATTGAAATCGATAGCTGTCTAACAAATGTCCAAACTAACCGTTATCTGAATTCGAGGCCGCCATTATGTTTTCCACTTACACTGGAGCCAGCGGAAACTACCGACCAAAAGAACTATATTAGATCACAAAGAAAGGAGAGCCTTCACACCGATGGTCATGCGATGGAAAAGGCTAAATCTGTCGGATGAAAATGATCCCAACATTTTGCCAGGACATTTAAAAATCAATTCTGTCTAGGGGGCGGACTCCATGGCACGGAGCAAATACCCTAAGAGCGAGGAACTGTTCGTTGGATCTTGAAGGATATGAAGATTCGAATGCATGATGCGGTAGACAAATCAGGATCGCGCTCCATATCAAATGGAAATCTGAGCATAGCTGTCAACTATCTTCCAATTTCGTTGTCTTCTTCGCATTGTTAAGACGGACTTGCGCATAATATACATTTATATAGCAATAAAAACACGCACACTGTACTGTTCCCCCAATAACATAGGCAGACGGTGAGTTTAATATTGTGACAAGGTTGCAGTTAACTTTTTCTTGTTATCATTGAAGAGTTTGCCCACTGTTCCGAACGATAAGCCGCTGGCATTTGTCCTACAGCGGATCTAGAGTGTATTAAGAATATAACTCAGAGTACCAGAATAGGACATATAAATGTTACCTTGCAACAAAACTTCCTCCTCGTCGGAACCATACGCCAGATGACATGATGGGTGATGACGACCGTCTAAGGGAATCCTCATGGGAACCAGAATTAGGACGATGCATCATTGCCACGGCGGCTGCGGCCATCGCGGCAGCCTGTTGGTGTTGTTTCTGTTGCTGCCATAAAGAATCACCTCGAACAGAGGATCCATTGATACGTGTGTCTCCTGGAGCACCACGGGCATCTGAAATGTCCGTTTCGCGAGAAGCGGATGACGGTGTTGGGAGGCGTGCGGGATTTGTCATGGTAGTACATTGAGATGATGCCGAAGAAGTAGTGGGTAGACCGGAGTTGAGTGAAGCGGCAGCTGCAGCGGCTGAGAGAAGATGCATATGGGCCGCTGCGGCGGCAGCGAACATGCTACGGAAAGTAATGAGGCAAGTGAAATGTTTTACCGTTACATGGCAAAGGACGAAAAGTGCTTTCAAAGAAAGGTAAAATGAAAACCTAGCCATTATCACTGCTAGCGGAAGACGTATGCTGTCGTGATTGCAACCTGGAAACACGTAAAATAAACCTAACAGAGGATGCGACCGTAAGAAGCCGGCGACGAATTGAATAGCAAGAATCCCAGCAATCATAAGAAAAAAAGCCACCGAATGGAAAGCGCCACTGACCATGCACGTGCAGATTCCAACATCGTGTGGCCCAGTGCCAAAATCAACCAAGTAACATTTGACTTGTCAGTTTGATCATATCGGCTGTACCAAGAATATGGGTCTAGCAAGAAGGTATCCCGAAACACGAGTCGGTGAGCACATCTCAAAGTGACAGGCCAGACCCGACTCTGAAAAGCACGGTAGTTGTACAGCCATTGGACGTTGAGAAACTCATTAAATCAACCGGCTTTGAATTTCCAGACGCAAACAAACGACTCAGTTTGCGGAAGGGTTTGCCACCAAATGAGATAACAGAGGCAAGCAGAAACGTGCTTCACTCTAATAAAAGAAATCAGTTGTGTTATTGATTCTGCTTTTACACTGCCTTCATTCATTTCCTCCGTGTTACATCATCAAATCCCTGTTTCATTCGAACGAAACTCAGTTCGCTCTCACTCTCACGCCCTTAGACTAAGTTCAATCCATACTACTACCTCATTTCTTCTGTAGGCCCATGCCCTGCTTTGGAACTGAATGCGTAGACGACTTACTTCTCCCCTCACCATTATATCTAGGGGTCTAGGGGTCTGTTAACCACTGGCTATACAAAACACCATAGAAACAATTGTTAAATGTCAAGGTGCAAGACGTCTAACACAAAATGTGGCTCTCTCCAACAGCATTTAGTTAATTTAACGAACCATTCGGGAAGCGCACAAGAATTAAGCTGGATAAACGCAAGGCACCTCGGACGATAATTCCCGAAGAACGTTTCGAAGAGTAAAGGATCTTGTAACGGGTGTGTTTCACCGTAAAAATTCCATTTAGGGAAAGGCGGTGCTAAGAACCATTCAAGGAAAAGTGTTACGCTGACTGTACGTTTTTCACCACTCGATTGACCTGGAGACTTGTAAAATTATTGATAACCCGGATTAAACATGATGTGAAGTGACTGGTAGATACGATTACACTTAATCTCTCAGTACGTGGGAAAACCTGGAGATGATGAAGGGGAAATTCACCTCGGGGAATAGGGACTGGCCACGTTTGAGGTGCTCGATGTCGACGTTCTGCTGGTGTCGCGTCGTTGGTATAGCGTTGCAGCTGCCGGAGAGAGGGCAGCTGCCGCGGCTACCGCCGCACTGGCCAAATTAGATGTAGGTGAGGATGAAGCTGCTACACCGGTTGTTAGGGGAGACCGAGCTGTTGTACCACCAGAAACGGTTCTGGAGCGACAACTACTTAGCGCCGCCGGACTGGGAGGGAGTCGGCAAGTAGTGGATGGGGATCGTGGCCTTGACCCAGGAGTATGTGGATTAACAGTCTTCGGTGACCCGGAGCCACTCCAGGAAGCAACTGCTGCTGCCATGGCAGCAGCGCACGCGGCAGCTGCATAGAAATTTGACTGTGACGTATGAAGCGAGGAATTGGCGGGGGAGGCGGAGGGGAGAGGCGAAGATCCAGGTCCATTGGGGAGGTTCACTGGCGGTTTTGATGACTGATTATTGTTAAAGGAGATACCTGTGGGATATACAAACGATACATGCGTAAATCGAGAACCCCAGTAAGCCAACAGTATGGTATATCCAAACAAGAGCGTGTACGTTTGAAAGCCAGACTATGGGATACATGACAATCCACCGTTTGCACCTGAAATCTGTAAGTGAACAGACAGTTGGCATTACTGCGACACCTGCATGGCTCGACGCTTTGTCCGGGAGTGTCTACGCCAAAATCAGCAAAAAAGTCGTGTAATATCATACAAGATGAGTGGGCTGATTGGATGATGGGCGTTACACATCGTGGACAGATTGAATCGCCCATCGCTTGCAGGACACGTGCAAAGGACACGCAAATCTGGGTAAGTGACGTTCGCATTACTGTTATTCAAAATTCACCGAGTCACATGGCCACGGGTGACAGCTGCAGGTGCTGGAGCGAGCGGACGCACATGGAACGGCTGATCGTGCACGCGAATGAAGTGTACATGAAGTTAGTTTAACCGATAGTCCGATAGAAGACGCATGCGATATCGCTATAGGGAAGGAAGTTAGAGGGGTGTGGTAACTTCAGGTGTGTGTGATCGGCTTTATTGACACTGTTTCGATAGACACACGAGATAACACGAACTGGTATGATCGACTCAATAAGGACAACGACGATCACGTGATTCTATGAACCGACACCCATTCTAAATCAAGCGGACAGTGTTGTTCACTGGGAAACAGATGGGAGGTATAAATCCCTCCCAGTATGATGCTACGCACAAACCGAAACTTCTTCCTGGGAGGAGAGCTGTACTGATCATGATAACAACCAGACCTGTGAGTCAAGACAAATTAAAATAGAAGAAGCTCCTCCCAAGGACGCACCCTTCCCATATGAAAACCAATCCGCTACGGTCTTGTGAGGTTTGGCTTGAAATGAATGCTCTTTGAGAGACAACCTTCCGAACTTCCCAGTGTCCCACTCACAACTAGGACAGGGGGTGGGAAATTCGCTAACTAGAATATCATGCATTTCTCCACTAGTCAGCTAGCTGAACAGTAGATAAAGAACGCCAATTTTAAATGACTGGCTCCGTATGACAAAAACAGCTTCCAATTTACTCTATTCGTAAAAATCACCCGTGAGATGGTACCACTCGCAACTGGGCTACCACGAGTTCTAATAACAAACCAAATATCGAAAGGGATCACTTTTGGTGGGTATCTGAAAACGGAAGACCACTTCGAAATATCAACTGTGAGTTGTCCAAAAACACCCAACTGCATGTCTCTTTTCCTCTGTGGGACCAATTCAAAGGACCGAGCAAAACGGTCTCTACTGTAAATCGGATTCCTCTGAGAGGTTGGCGATATGCCTAAATGTCGGTAGTTCGGGTGAGTCTATAGGCTGTTGATCAGGTGACAGTTGATATGTTCGCCGGGTTAGCCAATGTGCCCACAAAAGTTTCGTTGAGATGATATCGTCACCGCGCAATGACGATGATCCTTCGCATTGTGGCGGGACGTTAGCAAGCCCGTTACCAGGATCGGCGAGCAGAGCAACTGCCAAATTATCAAAAGCCAGTCTTCTGGGAGGTGGTTCATTATTAAAGCACAGCTCCAGTGTCCAGTTTAAAGGTTCATCTTACGAACGGCCTCTTACGGTGAGGGTTTTTTTTAAAGGGGATGCACTATACTCGCGAAATACACTCATTTACATACCGATTTGGCATTAATGGGAAACCCAGCTGAATCCCAACTATGTCTCTCGTTTGCCACATTCTCTAACTGGATGTGGTATACAAAGGCCGCCTCATTTTTGCGTTGGCACGATATTCGAAATATCGATGTATATTTTCTTGAGGGGAACTACTATAATTCCTTATCATTAAAGACAAACAGAATCATTAGACGTCAGTGAGCAGGCTGGGTCATCGTCTCCAACGCATGGATCTCATTCCCTTATTCTTTTCTTCCTCGGTCAACGACACTGTAGCAGCTGAAACCACAGGTAAACGGTTTGTGAGCTGGAAAAATGCCTTACTGGCTGGTTCAGCATTTAGAGGTCGCTCTAATAAAGAACCCAAAAGCTTGACCATACTATGCACCTTAATATCACCACCTGTCAAGAAATTGACACCATTTTTATAGACTTTAGCCACACCGATGTCGGGGCTGCTCGTCACTGGATGCACAGCCCACAATAGACACCACTTGTCATAATGGATGGCTTCTATCCGATATTTTGAAAGATCTTTAAAAGATCATTTAGAAAACACCAGTTGTACTTGTTAACTCCAAATGGTATCCCAGGAGTGTAACGAAAGGCAGATCGGGTCTGTTGGGGTAAAATCAACGCTACCTGGTTCAACACTTAAGTGACGCGTTTTACCCAAATGCAGTAGCCCTTTACCCCGTAAGAAATTCTTCTGATGGACAAAAAATGTGATTTTCAAAGTTGGTCTTCGAAGATGCCGATGATTACATTGGTCGGCTGGTGTGCTTGTGTTTTGGAGCACTAAACTTAGGTTTTAAAAGTGGAAAGCACGCCTAGGATCGTATGAAGGGCAATGATGGTCTGCGTTCAAAGCGTGTGGAACGATCTTGCAGCTCACCGTCCGCTATAAGCTAATAAGCTTTTCCTTCCATGCAAGAAATATAAAAGCATTTTCTGATCAATGCTTGGGAGAAAGAACAATTACAGCAGGACCATGCACAAGGTTAAGCCCAGCTGAGGATCCATTTCGCAAATCTAGTTGACGTTTGTAAGGTCGCGGCATTTTAACGGATATCCCCAACTTTCACTAAGAGTGACGATGTTCGTGGACAATATAGGTGGTGGTCTTCGTGCTGGGTCATTTGTTATGTTGCTGACGTCATAATGGAAAGTGGCGATATTACGGCGTCAGCTTCGGTGTTCCATTGCGTTATTATTATTATTATTATTATTATTATTATTATTATTATTTTCTTATACGGTCGATGGAGCCATCCTACCAACTGCCAATTGTTGCGCCGTCCAAGTAAGTAGTCTTTGCTCGAGGAACGACTAAACTTCAAGCAAACTTTAGCAAATTCGCAATGAAATTGCACTGGACATGGTTTCCCGAGATGCCTGATAGGTCGATATGACAACTGGGTTGGAGAACAATACTGGTAGCACAAGGGCGCTTCTTCACACACTAATGGGACTATTTTGTGGTGAGGGAACAGGCAGGACATTTGGAGAATGGCGGAGAAAAGAACGGAAAAAACATACCAGATGAAGTTATGTTGGAGAGTTTGTGGGGATCGAGGCTGATTTCTGCATCAGGACTGCGTCCGTACGTCTGAGCTGTATGGCCAGTTGACGAGCCCCACCGAATGCCTGCTGGGCCCGACGGACTATGGTCACTTATAAGGGTTTGGGTAGAAGGTTCAGGACTGGTACTGACAGATGGGTGGGAGCCGGGGCCGAATTTGTGCGTGCCGTTGGATAATTGACGTTCTTCTTTAACGACTTTGGGAATCGGCTCTTCCGTTTGCTGTTTAGATCCGCAAAGTTGTGACCGGTCAGGGCTTGCGACAGTTTGAGAGTAAGCCGCTGCTGCTGCTGCGGCCGCTGCTGCAGCGGCTGCCGCGGCTGCCGCTGCGCTGCACCCGAACGGGTCGTAGAAGGGCATTAGCCCAAATGGATTTGCCAGGTATGGAGAAAGATGCGAACTCTGTCGAGACAAATGAAATATAGATCGAGTGTCAGAGGATGTGTAAGTAGCGTGGGGGGGGGGTGACAATAAGGAGTTCACATGAAGAACTGGTAACGGTGGCTAGATTTGGGACCACCGAAGTTTTCACCGAATTCACTAAACTGAGATGAGATTTATTCGGATTTGTTCACCAAGCTCCATGAGCCATTCTGTCCCCAACGTTCACTACAGTTAGGCATCATATTCCGCTAGTGTAATAGCCTAAGTAGGGTGAATGGGATACTAAAAAAACCAAGCAGCTTACTGCTTGGACACTGTCTCTTAGTGGACATAAAAGGAAAGAAACAGAGAGTGAAAATGTACTGAGTAGCCGCGTTGTTCGCCCCCAACACATTCGAACAAAACGTCGCGAAATTCGGCACAGGAAAAGGCTAGCGTAACATCCGCTGTCTGTGTAGATGTGTCTACGCTGACAATCCCCCAGACGCTTATAGCAAAACGGGGTCGAACCAGTCACCGTAACCATAACGATAATGTTACAATTGAATTAGTCCATTCGTCTGTCTAGCAGCTCTGACTGTGTGTATGTATCGCTGTGTCGGTAAACGTGGACGCGTTTGGAGCCGGTGACATCGTTACACATAGTTACAACTACCAGCTGTCTAATGAGATTTTGACAGGCAAACAATCATTCACCGGCGCCAACCACTGTCTGTCACTTGCTGCTAATACGAGGATGACGAGTCGTCTCCACAACCGATACAGAACTCAAACAATCCGAGTACGAACCGAATAGCTACCGTCTGAGGGGTCGGGTCGAAGTTTGTAATTCTCTGGAGGCAATCTTAGGGTGGGTCGGAACAGAATGGGGTTATAACGTTGATTGGCGGGGTGGAAGGCGGGGGGATGACAACAATAAGGTATGTTTGTAATAGAAATGCGTTGGTTGATGAACGAACGGGCGGCTGGACAGATACCGACGGTCTCAGTGTCAATCGAGTCGCATGTTCGGTCCCTAAACTGGTCGCAAACTCCTACGTGTGTCAATCAACTGTGAACAAAACGACAGAACCCGACTAAACCTGACAATTGTGCTCAGGGGCTGTTTCGTGCATGTGCGCTTCCACATGTGTACGTGTGTGCGCGCACATTATGGGCGAAATGAGAGAAAGGTATCCGGCTTTGATAGTCATGGCGACAACATCAACATAGCCATCCTCTTGGCATGGAGATAGAACGGCAACAACGGAACGACAGCGACTGGCAGCGTGGTGCCGTGAGGAATAATGTGTTGATAGACATGTACATGCGGGGAGACACCGTGGATGCGTCGATCAGAAGTAAGCTTCACGAGTTTGTTAACCTTATAGTTGTCACCATTCTAAAAGGGGAAATTCACCCAACTATATGAAACTGTATCTCCCTTGCGACACTGAAACTGAAACAGCCTTCGGATACGGAACAAAAAGTTGCTAAATCACATGGACACCTGTGGAACAATAGTTTAACGTCCAAAGTAGTTAGAAATCAAGTGTATGGAAATGAGAGCCAAAAAGAAATCAGAAGGAGTGAGGGGGTTGAAAGAAATACAAAAGGAGAACCAAATCCCAGCCGACTGAAGAGTTGGTAAAGACACACTGCAAACTTAGAAGTTTGAAAAGAGAGAGAGACACTGCTGGGGGAATGTGTTACCTCATGGATCAAAGAAAATTCCTCTGTAACACCCATCATACTTACGACCATCAGAAAAGTACCCGGAAATTATAGAAAAAAACGATAAATGAAACGTTTAGCAACTCATCCGAAATCGCAAACAATGCACTAGCCAAACTTTAGTTGAATCAATCATGGCCAATCGCGTTGAGGCTGGCTAAGTTGTACTCCCAAAGCCGAATCAGAATGGACACGGTCAGATTGTTTTTTTAAGCTAAGCAAGAACAACTTCAACGTGGAAATAACGGTTTGGTGAAACTACTATCATCGTAACCCAATGGATCATTTTTATTAGTTATTTTGAAAGATAATTTCGGTTGTCAATCAATTCTTTTACCAACATCATTTGTTCGAGTATTCTGATCCTTGGCCAGGAGACAATGTGTTTATAGTACACTGGCCGAAGTGGAACACTCAGTGTCCTCGTTCCGTGGATTACGTGGAAAATATAACACAGGTAATACCGAATGTGAATCTAAAGCAGGAAATTGGCGACGAGGTCAACGCTGGTATTCCTGACTATGGAGATGAGAATGATGATGGTGAGCCAAGATCATAACGCTCGCTTGCAAGGAAAAATAACGCTGCGTCCATCGGCGTACTGCTAACCTGAACACGTAGGGGCGTAAAACAAACATGTTGAGGAAAAGGAAAGAAAAAAACGAAGCATCAAAAAAAAGTAAAAACAACCGTAGTCTACTTATAACGAGAAAGTTCAACGAAATTGGTGCCAACTGAATCATGAGGCGGCCTGTGTGCAGCACACCCAGTTGTAGGATATCATAAACGAGAGATTCAGTTGAGTTTCTCATGAAAACCAAATTGATTTTAAAATGAGTGTATTTCTAGAGCACTAATCTCTTCTATTGTATCTCAGTCCTACACGAATGTTTGGTCGGCCATATTCACGGCGTTTAGGAGTACGCATGAATGCGCACTTCTAACCTTACCTCAGAGGGGGTGCGATTCGACTGGCATAGTGGATCATTTCCGGTCACAACACTGTTCAGAAACAGGGTCATAGTTCACACAACTTTGAAATGCTATGGTTGACTCTTTCTGTTAGATTCACTTTTGTACACAAGGTATAGCACATAATAACCTAAACGCAACGATAGACACAGTTCGAATGTCACATAAAGGATTCGAAAGTTAAACAATATGACCAATTTACACACAACGGGGAAGAAAATAAGTAAAGCGCAATTTCTCTGTCAGTCCGGACAAAGGGGAAAAGTTGCCAAACGACAGTGGCGAATTGGTTCGGAAATTGGATTGACGCGTAAGAAACAGAAACAGCGCAAATACCGATGAGATGAATGAAGTGACAAAGGGAAGACTAAGTGCCCGTATTTGTACGGGAGGGATCAAAGTTTTCCAAGAATAAAAGTCCACCTCCATACCTCCTTCCGATATAGACATTTGTCGATTTTCACAGCAACCTCCCGCTGTCATCTCAGGTGATTTCATAGTAGTTCAACCGGAAAAGTGAGATTTGTCAGATGGAGTAACGATGCGGGAACTCATCAGCCACGAACAGTCTTGGGCGGGATTTCCCTTAATCAACAGCGTGTGAAATCCGTCAAAAAGCACAGCTCAAAAAGTTACCGAGCCAGTGAACTCTTACAAAAATGGGCATCAAATTAACTCAACGAGTTCTGTCATAAGCCACACAAGGCTCGCTTAACATCAGGTATTTACGGTTCACATGTAAAAGACAACCATTTTCATATCCACTCAGTAGGATGCTACAAACACTGACTGGTTAGACACACTAAATGAGACACCGGAGAGATCGGTAAACAGCACGATAGCTTACCACCCCTTTCACGCCGACCAGCAAGTAACGCGGTGTCAAATGCGACCCACAAATTGTTACAGACCAACAAAACTGTGACAACCTGTTCGATCACACTTGGAAGGCCATGGGCGGGTGAAACGAGGGAACTTGATTAAACTGGTACTCCATGTATATCTACAGTTGGATGAGATGGTAAACCACTGAAGCTGTTCGAAGAGTGTTCGATAATGATAGTCAGCACCTACAGAATTATGGGCGCCGGCATGAGCGGGATGAGGAGTGTCAAGTAATTCTCATCTAACTGCTCGTTTATAAAATGTTTTCTCTGGATTGTATGGGTACTAGGTGAAGAAAAGGTGCTACGTTTAAGCAGTCGGATTTAATTTTGCGAAAAATGTCCCAAACTAAAACTGCCAGAATAACAAGAATTGTGGACGTGAAAAAATCATCTGTGAACATCTACCTTTCAAAACGGACTCTCCCATAAATATGACAGCACAGTCCACCTGGCGAAGCAGGTAAACGAAGAGGTCCAAAATACTCACAATCAACCTACCTTGGAACCATTCTTGCTCAACTTCCGTCGGCTAAGGAAACTATGCACGAACTACTGGCATAAATGATGGCCAACCCGGATAAGTTGGTGACTGGACCACAGAGTATTTATTGCATTATCAACCATTATTTCAACCGAATGATAGCTCTCCAGGGAATTTCAAGCATCGGTCAGTGCAGGGGATGAACAACTAAGCGTCAAGTGTGGTTGGCAAGAGGGCAGTTTCCGCTAGGCCTACCCACTAGACACACATCAGAGTAAACTCCACTTACTAACAACTTCTCCGTAATGTCCTCATTTGATTCAACGAACCGAAGGAAACAACGGCCTGAAAATTCCGTCTGGCGGGTTAAACACGTCAACGGACCAATGAAGGGTGATAATCGAGTTGTCACAAGTCCAGCGTTCAGTTGATGGTCAGATACGTAAAATTGTGGAAATAGCCTTAAGTAGGACGTGCAGAAATACACTGGCTCTGGGTTCGCGATTCATTTAAGAAGGATGGATAATCATTTAGGTCTCAAGAGATTCATGATACTTATATCGTCTGAAAAAGCATCGAGTAAGCTTGCAGCATGTCCTGTTGTGAAATACCTTCGAGGTTGCGCTACAAAATAACCCGCAGTTACCCGAATTTCCGCATTGACTGCTAACACACTGCAGTCATGATGTAGTCGCTGCTTGCGACAATACTGACAACAAGCTAAGATGGGTTAAGGACTCCATGTGTAAGTGGTACTTCGTATTGATCTTTCAGTGGAATTACCATGGTTTGCAGAGCAGATGAGTTTCCGGGTCAGGTGTCCGTGAAATGAGACATTCTGGGTAAACATAGCTGTAGAGTGATGTTTATCATTATCTGTTCGTAGTATTTAACTGTTTTGTATGTGAAACAGCACATTCTCTCAGTGATGTGCTGGTCAGCTTGGAGAGGAGCCGACATTCCTA